TGTGATTTGTAGGAGTTGATGAAGTTGTTTTTGTGTGGATGCATAAAGTTTTATGTCGTCCATGTACATGAGATGTGACAGCGTAAACTGTGTTGTTTTTTCATGTCTGATATTGTAGCCATATTGTGTGTTGTTTAACATGTTGGATAATGGGTTCAGGGCTAGGCAGAGGAATCTCCTTGAAAAACTCCTCACCTAATGAATATTTCGTTTGTTTGTATGAAAGTGTTACTAACCCTGAGATGTAGTGTTGTTCTCCAGTGCTGCATAGTGTTTTGGAAGAATGCAATGAGTGACGAATGAATTTTGTACATGTATAGAATATGTAGCAGCCAACTGTGTGGAACACTGTCGAATGCTTTTCTGTAGTCTATATATAACATGTGTATGTTTCTGTGTTGTTTATGTGCTTGACATAGAATGACTGAATCTATGAGTAACTGTTCTTTGCATTTATTATTATTATTTTATCAATTGTAAAATAATTATTATTAACAAATAAAATATTTTTTAATGTAACAAAATATACAACAGTAAAAACTAAGGAAATACAGTGATAAATTTTAATTGTCATTTCTCCTTAGTATTTTTTTAACAAGTAAATACAGCATCCTGTAATTCAGAATGTCTGACACCCTCTAAAAATCAGGCAATAATCCAGCATGCCACTATTCCACAAACTAGAATTTGTACTATACAGTCTACATTGTATATGTGAAACATGGAAATATAGATAATGTTGTATCAAAAGCAAAATAGCTACCAAAGTTCTAATAGACCATTCAAGTAGTTTCAAATGGTGCATATTGAAATTAAAATGCTTACTGAAATCACAATGACAAATATTTTAAATTATGTTGATGAAGTTCCATAATCATTATATAAAGGATGTTTTAAATGCTAGGTAATTTTAGGTAAGAATGTTTTAAATGCTGAAAAAAATAATTATGTATTATCTGATTAGTAATAATAACAATGATGAAATATTAGCATTATGTTTCAAGGCTGAGTTTTAAGAACAAATACTTCATTTATTAAAAATAATATTCAATGTTAAGGTATCATTCAAGAAAAAGACATAGTAAATATAAAAAATATGGAAGTCTTTTAAGAGAAGGTACCTCTTGATTGAGAAACTTTCTGTTCGTGTGAACAGATGCCAGAAGAAAATATAATTGCCATGCTATTATTGTAAACAGTGATCACTGTGTACAATAGCATGGCAATCCAACCAATAAGCTGATTGACACCAAAATTTGTGTACATGCTATACAAAGAATGCAGAAAAGAATTTTACAAAGAAAAATTTTAGTTCCAAAATTGTCCACTACAGAGTAAATGGTGCTTCAAGTATACTAGCAATTTTTTTTATTGCTAGTATACTTGTATTCACAATTTAGCTTTGTTTACATTCTTCATCTAAGTACCTTAAGGTCTTGATGTCATTGTTAAACCTATCCATATCAGACTTACAAACTGGCAATCATCATACTTCTTTAAAACAGAATAGAAATTTTGTATAACAAAATGTTGCCTTGCTACCAGACAAAAATCTGTTACCTTTGTTAGTATAAAAATTTGGAATATTACACAATGAAAGATCAAAGAATCAAAAATTTACAGAAAAATAAAAATATGCTTTCAAAGTTAAGGATTCATTATAAAAACACAAATACATACAGGATTCACATTTTTCTCATCCTTTCAAGATTTTATCAATCATTCTGCATATAAACATTTCTCATTATAATATTTTCATCATGTTTATTGTTATTGTATTTATAATTATATATGACAATTAGTTTTTTTGGGGGTCACTAAGCTTAATCCATGCAGTCCACTTAGTTTTTTCTTTTGACCAATAAAGATTGATTAATTTATTAATTAAAAAAGTTTTTAAATTCATAATAGAAACTAAAACTTTTATACACTTACCTCTAATTGGTCCTAGAGCAGCATCTTTAGCAAGTGCTGTCAAATCACTACCTGAATATCCTTCAGTTAACCTAATCAATCAAAATAGTTTTATCACTTTTAAAATGTAAAAACAAGAAAGCTATAATCATTAATCTACTTTCCCCATGGCAATACATATATGCACACACCATTCGTGGTTGTTATGGATGGTAAGAAAACTGGACTCATGTGCATTTGAAATGAAACTCATTTAATAAATAAAGTACTCTACCTGAATTATTGGTTTACAAAAAAAATTGGCTCAATTACTGTAACAGGAATCTCCATATATGCCTGAAAGCATTACTCCTCCAAAAAAATCAGAGGCAATAAATTTAAATGCAACCAGCATTTGTATAAAATTACTACTTTGTGGATTCTCCCTTGCAACATACATGTTGGCAACTTGCCTAGGCATCAACATGACGTAAGAAAGGCAAAATCTTGTGGAATTTTGGCCCACTTTTTCTGAAGAACAGTCTTCAGCTGATCTTTTGCTCAGGGTATGCATTTTTGCATCACTTTCTTGAAAACAAGCTAAAGGTCTTTGATTGGATTCAAATCAGAATTTGAAACCCAGTCCAGGACTTGGACTCTATTTTGGCAAAGGCAAGCACTAGTGGAGCATGCAGTATGCAACTTGGTGATATCTTGCTGGAAAATAGCATCTCTCTGCAGCTGAAGATGGGTTATGGAAGGCAACAAATGCTGTTGCAAAATTGCTTAGCATTTTGCAACAGCATTTGTTGCAAAATGCAGCATTGAGCATTGACAATCCCATCATACAAAACCAAATCACCAATGCCAGAATATCAAAACACCCACCACACTTGATACATGCTTGGAAACTTTGACTTCCTGCTTCACACAGTTTTGGATGAGTCCTTCATTTGAACGGCAGATTATGCTATATTCAATATTTTTGTACAGCACTGGAAAGAGTGACTCATTAGACCAAATTATCTTCTGTCATTGAGGTGATCCCTATCCCATGCAAACTACTACTTTTGTTGAACGGACATCAACATAAGCTTTCACTTACTCTTGTACAAACCATAACCCATGTCATGTAACCTGTTGCTAGCAGTTTGTTGAGATACAGGTTGGCTCATTTGTTTGCTCCATAGCTCTGCAGCTTCCACAAATGTAGCAGTACTGTAAGTTCGCCGACTTCCAGGGGGAATCATTAATCCCGCATCAGGATGATCTAGGGTCATTCGCGTGTGGGTGTGGCGGAGGAGACACAGATGACAAGAATCTCACAAAACCTGTTTATTTTAAACATAAAAGTAAACTTACACTAAGGAACAAAAATGTTCTTTATACAATTTGAAGTTCGAATTGATGATGGTATTTCTAATGTTCCTCAAAGGAAGGCCCCGGGGCAATGGCAGGTGTGGAGATTCGTCAGTTGGTGTCGGCGGTCTAAGTCCGTAGTCACAGGTTACAAGTTGGGCACAACCGACGGAAAACTGCTTTTTCGCGTTGACTAACCGTGTGCAGGTGCACCATTTTCGGAAAGTGAAAGTCCTTGATAATCAGGGATTATATCAATCTCCGTTCTTTGTTTTGTTTTCTTCTGATTGGCTCCACGTCCCTTTTTTTCTCGCTCCCCGATTGGTCTCTCGTCTGTCTCTAAGCGAAAGACGATTCCTGTTCGAGTCATCAGAAAGATCCGCTTCAAAGAATCTACTTGACACCATCCGTTATTCTGGATGCAAAATGTTGATGGAACTTTGAAACTTGGGCTCATATTTTACACCATTGTTGTCTAGTCTATGACGTTTTTAAAATTTAACGACACGACGCAATGTCCCTTTTCATCATTAACCTTTCCTCTTTTCAAGATTTCTATGTTCTAATTATTTGCATATGAGCGACTTGTCAAAGGTCCATCTCTACTGGAGGTCATTCGTTTACCATTATTAATCATTTATAATTATTGTGTTCTGTTTACATCAATAGTTTTTTCTCTAGTCACGGTTTCATATGACTAGAACAACTAATTTGATCTTTGATCGGTTTTTAATAACAGACGATTTTTTTTTCTAGTTTTGTTTTAATAAATTTCTAATAATAAATGTTTAATTTCAACTGATTTTTGGAACCTCATAGTACAGCATGACAAGTTGATGCAAAATTCAATCTTACCTGACAGTAGTTATTAGTGATCTGCCATTATTGCAGATTATTGCATTCAAAAATGATAGAACTGATTTCTTTTCAGTGTCTGAGGAGGATTCTGACAGACTGATTCAAACACAATTTCTGAGAATTGCGCTGTACAGCTGCTTCATTTTGTTTTTTCTGGAAAATTTTATAGTGTACTCGCAGTCCTAGCCTCTGTGTTTGAACAATGCAGAGATTACACAAAGTTTCATGATTCCCTTTTGTGAACCGCCGGGGAGGGTGTAGGTCTCCCGATCCGGCAACAGGTTGTTAAACCCTTTCACTGTCAGGATGGATGGAAGAATTCTTTTTCCCGCTGTAACGGGCTTTAATGTTTCGGTCGAGTGGCGGAGGGAGGAGTGCGTCGGTAAGATGACCGGCGATATACGAGTAAAGATGACACCACTTTAACAGGATAACAACGATTTATTAGCTACATAGAGATTACAATAACTAATTTCAAAGGGAAAAATCTGAGTCCCTGAAACGCGAAGGACCGAGAGAGAGTTCACAAAAATTTGTTCCATACCTCTTTATGTTTTTAAATATTCTTGAGGAAAAAGGTTTTGATATCCAACGGGTTGGTAGGATTAGGATAATAATGTTTCTTCAGGACACAATATCGGATAGGACACAGTATATTAATAGGACACCATATTCGTAGGACACAGTTGTAAAAGTGACGGCGGATGAACGACTCCCCTGAGAAGGGGAAGGAAGGGGTTTTTATAAGTTCGGCGTGGGAGAATGGTCATGTGACCAATTGTTGTGAGGTAAAAGGTATGCAGATGGGTCAGAGTTGTTCCCGGGACCAAGGCCAGGACCATGCTAACTATCAACTTAGCAGTTGGAATGTGGGATTAGTTTCGAATTGAACGGATGTTTATGTTGAACATAAACGAAAAGGGTTTTTTTTTCTGTTAGGTTTCACTTTAAGTTAAAGGAAAATTTAATTAGATTTTAAGCAAATATGGGACAATTAATCAACAAATAGTCTACAAAAATTCCGGATTTCACACTTTGTTTGCATATTGCTAACTGAGTAATACACAAAAACAGAAAAAATTTGTATGTCCAGCGAAGCAACGTCTGCCAAATGCTGAGTGCATATAAATTTATTGCTTGTGATTTTTCAAAGGAGTAACACTTTCAGGCATATGTGGAGATGCCTGACAGATTAAGTCAAATTTTTTGTAAACAATAGCTCTCTACTTAAGCTATGGTTACTATTGGAGCTATAGTCTCTGAGCTATGGAGTACTTATTACAATCGTTTACAAAATTAGATTTCACTCAACCCCTTTCTACACTGATACTAAAGAATAAATTGCAAATGGAATGCAGATAAGAATTAAATCAAAATTAAAAAATTCTGTATTACATCTTTAAATTTTAGTAAAGTACACTAATTATAATTATATATTAGTACTTTTACTGTATCCAAATGTAATAAAAATAAATTCCACTGATCCTCTAAATAACAACTAGTAATTTGCTGATCCCAAGAAAAATTGATTGACCCTCTCAGAGGTTGTTAGTGACCAGGTTGGAAACTCTGCTAAAAAATCATTTGCATGCTGCCATTCTCAAGAAGCTTTCATAATAATTATCAAAGGAATAAGATATTATAAGTATAATGTTGTTATACTTGTTAGCTTTAGTGATAAAAGTGAATAGTGATCAACAAAAAAATGAAAATACTAAAATAGCTGCAGAGAACTTATAACGATTTGCATGATAATCAAGTGGAGATAGTATAGAACAAAAGTTGTAATATACTAACTACTTCATAATGAAATATTTAATTAAATTGTTCTTATATTTTATCAAAACAAAATGCTTATCTCAAACAATTGCAAAAGCTGGAACCAAGATAACTAATAATTTACTTAATGTTTTAACACTTCTTTCAGCAGGCCTCTTCAGGTATATATGAGCAGAAAAAATTTGATTGAGCTTCCAAAAGTTTGATAAATTTTTAAAGCAGTCAACGATAGAGTATTCTATTCATTTGGAAAGTTTTAAATTAGCTTTGAACAGTTAATTCAAATTTAGAATTGGATCAAATGAAAAAAGATATACAAAATTAATATATTATAGCTACTTCCTTATCCCTATATCATATATATGTTAAGTAAAGCTTGCTAAGCTTGTGAAAGACTTAATCTGTCTTTACTGTTAATGCAGCCACCAATTCATTCTTTCTTGTAAAAGCAAGAACAAATTGGCTAAGCTTTTAAAAGTACTTTTTGACAAATTGAAACTCAAAATACAGAAGGCCATTGAAATTTACACACAAGAACAAACTGGCAGCTGCATTAACAGTAAAGACAGATTAAGTCTTCCACAGACTTGTCATGCTTTACTTTGTTATAGAAGTTTGACTGTATATGTTAAGTTGCTAAATCTTGAAATAAAAAATTTGCTGTAGGGAAATTGTTATACAGAAATTACAATTTTTGGTAAATAAAGTATTATTTTATTATACAATAGTAATGTAATATAAACAGTGTTTTAATTTTTAGTTAGTTTATATTTATGCTAAAATACTTACAACTTAGTTTAAGTTTATTTTTGTAGAAAGAAATGAATTTTTTGTTGTGCAGAACAATTAAAAATACTTCATAATATGCTTCACACTTATTAAGCACATTGAAAGTGCTTCACTACATTAACGTAAACATAGGTTCTAGCACATTTTCCTATAAGTCTTGCATCATCGTCTATTTCAAAATTGATTTGCAATTTGTTATTATGGTTGATGAACTACTCAGAGGAATTTCAAACTTTACTACAATTTCTTTCTTTTTTGAGCCTTTATCAACTTTCCTCAACATATTAATTTTTAGTAGTATAATGCTTAAGCACTATATTAACAGTTCTTCAAATTCCAACTAAATGACTTATTAAATAAAAATAAATCTCACTAACCTCAAAAATTAAGCAGTTGTCAAAATTATCACCTTTATGACTTTTTCAACATTCATTAATTGTAAATCATTTAGCTATCAATGATAGCATTTGAATCTAATTTCTCTCTCTCCCTTCTTTACAACTGGTAGCCACGAGGACAGATTACATGATGGTTTTAAAGCTAATGTTCATTATATCTCACACCTGGACTGCAGTTTACAAAGGGTTTACAGATTGATACTTGAAATTAAACCTAAATTCGAACGCAACCCAAATAGAGTAATGAACTTTTAATGATCAACGGTCCTTACAAATAAAAAAAAAAGTCATAAGAAATTTAACTTTGTTATTTAGAAGCAATTTTACATATATTTTTGGCTGAAAGAGCTGTGTACAGTGCAAAAATCCATTATTCAGAGAAATTCACTCTGTAGGAGTTTGGCTGTATATGATATAGAGATAAGGAAGTGGCTATAACATAATATACAGTGGAATCAACTTATTATGATTACCTTGAAACTTGCAACTTTTGATAAAAATAACTGGCTGATAACAGAAAATAAAAACTTTTCATTATTGAACTCAATTTATTACAAACAATTACAGTATGAATGTGTACAATTTATATTTATCACAAACTGCACACTTAATATTAATACAACATTATATACTATAGTATACACTATATATATATATATATATATATATACACATATACACACACACACACACACACACACACACTTATAAAAAATATAGCATATATAAATGTATATATATATTTATATATGCTATATTTTTTATAAACAATTATTTTCAACACAACAGATTATAAAATTAAACTAAACAAATCACAACAAGAATGTTCATCCCCAAAGGAGGTACACTTCAAGTAAAAATCTACAATATATGTATTTTCTAAGAATTCTTGTTATGCCCTTACAGTATGTAAAAGATAAAAGATAGTCTTCAATTAAAAGTAAATTTTGAAGAAAAGACCCATTTTGTATAAATTTTCTAAGAATTCTTATCGTTTATACCCAAATGTAATAGTCAAAATTGATAACAATAGTTGGTATGATTATAATAGCAGATTTTTAACTCATTTTATATACAGTGTTTTGGGACTGACTGATTATGATGATAATCGATTGATAGCATTATTCTTGATTAATACACTGAAATTCAGTTATTATAATTTTACATATTACACTGGAATTCAATTATTATAATTTTGTATATCTTTTTTTGTTTGATCCAATTTTGAAATTTGAATGAATTGTTTGAAGTTAATTTAAATCTTTCTGAATGATTAAGATTTAAATTCAAATTTCATTGGACATTCACCAAATGCATAGAATACTCCAATGTTGTTGCCTGATTTAAACTTTCTTCAAACTTTTAGAAGCTCAATTGAATTTTTTTCTGCTCATATACATGAGGAGGGTTGCTGAAGAGACCAAAAAACATTAGTATTATTAAAAAAATAACTGCTGGAAGAAATGTTAAATAATTAGGTAATTATCAAAATGCTATCAATAAGAAAAGAATTTTCAGACAGCTGCCATTAAAAAAAAGCTATCCTGGTTCAATTTATAGCTTCCTCTAAATTCTGAGTTATGTGATAGTAATATTAAAAAGTAATAGCTCTAAAACTATGTCAGCAATTCTGAAAATTATCAAATAATCTAATTTGGCTTATGATTATAATTAATTAATTAAACTTTAAGTTTCAAATTATATATAACTTATACTGTAATTCATATAAATAATAAAATTAATAAGTTTTTTATTTTAAAAAATTTAACTAACTTGGCAAGATGTTTCAAATCTTCATGAGAAAGAGGATTATCTTGTTTTGCAAGAAGTTTCTCCAACAAAACAATACGCGTTTCCCATTCAGGTAAAGTGACATAAACTCGTTTTGTAAACCTCCTAAAATAAATTATTATTACTGTTTTAGAAAATAAATTAACATAACCAATACATTTGACTAAAAATCAAAATACAAACATTTTCAATCTCAGAGATGATCAAACTGCGCATTTCAGAAATGATTTTATTGTCAACAATGTTATTAGACAAATTTTTTAAATTAATTTAATTATTAAATATATCATAGATTAATCAGTTGACAAGACAGTTAACTTGTATTGTATAATTAAAATTTCATAAATTGCAAGAATATATATTTCCAAACTCAATTTTCATTACAATTTTGTTATAAACATGTATTCTCACATCTATTCTAGATTAATTACAAAGTCTATAATAAAATATGAAATTTAACTATTTTATTATTTTAATAACTTGAAAATGCCCATTCCATGTATGTTTAATTTTATATAATTTTAAGCTATATTTTACAATTAAAAAATTTTAAACATGTAAGGTGTCTCCAATCTTTGAGAGAGATTTCACCAGCTGATAGAAAATGATGAATAAAAAAAATGTGTAGGGAAAATTTTTGTATTTATTTATTTGGTTTTGGTTTCTAGTTATGCACAAAAAACTCAATTTTATAAAATATTACTTTTTGAATATCACTGATTTTAGTCAATCAATTCTGATAAATTCTTCTTCTTCTTTTGTTTTGAATGAAGGCATATTTTTCCTTTTGAATAGATTTGTTTATAACCTAGAAAACATGTTTTTTTCTATTAATGAGGTCTTCTACAGATCTTAGAATAAACTAAAAAGCAATCATTAATCTGCTTAACTGCATTTTAAAATTTTCATGACCATCAACCTGAGTCTGGGGCAAAATTTTCAAATTGGTAATACACAAAGCTTTATTATTGCAATTGATTACACATCTTAAAAGAAACAAAAACATTTCACAGTCAGTTTGGTGACCTTGACTGCCCTTGTTTTTTTACCTTGAAAATGTTTTTCTTGCATCATTGTGAAGATCTCAATAAAAACAAAAAAAAATATTCTCATAAATTTTTTTGTTTAGGGTTTTTTTTAGATCCAACTGAACTTAAACCAAAATATTTTTCTACACAAATACAAAACTGAGTTTCTTGCACTTAACTTGAAACCAAGGCTGAATCAAAAAAAGTGGTTGGGGAAAAATGTTGGTTTTCAAATGTTTTCTACCAAAATCAAAAAGTTCTGAGTATTATTACTTTTTAAATAAATGAAAGCATTTATCGTCATTTAGAACAAGTCTACTTCAAAGAAATCTCCTTGAGATATAATAAACTTTTCCCAGCATTTCTGGAGCTGCTGGAAACAGTTCTAAAACTCACATTTTGGAATGGCTTTTAGAGTCCTTGTTACATTTTCTTGTATGACTTCCAAGGCTTTGAAAGTTTTCCCTTCAACATAAGCGAGGTTGCGGCTGACATTTTCAATGCAAAAACGTGTATTTCAGTCATTCAGTGTCACTATCCTATAAGCCTAAAAGTTTGACAATGGCATTTGGAACATCAGTGGAATCATGCTTGATGTTCCAAATGCCATTGTCAAACTTCTAGGCTTACAGGATGGCCGTACTGAATGTCTGACGTACACATTTTTGCATTGAAATGGCCACAACCTCACTACAGTTTTCAGTTTCAGATAAAGGGAAAAGTCAGAGAGAGTCAAATATGGCAAATACAAAGGATGTTTGATCAATGGAACATTCTGTCTGGCCAAATACTGGTTCACAGACAGTGTCATGTGACATGATCCAATGTGTTGAACTGACACTTTGGTGGACTCTTTCAGCAACTTGTAAACCTTTGTGGCCATTTTTCCAAACTTCACAGAACACTTGTCACATGTTCCTGTAGGTCTGACATTTTGGAATGTAACACTGGCATAACAGATAGTATCCCTTCTTCCTGCCACAACACAAGCCACAGAGATGACATTTAATACACAAACAATTAATGTCTAGACCAGCAATGGGCAATCTTTTTACGTGTGCATGCCATAACTGCCTAATCTACAATGCTGATTTCTCTCACATGCCAATGGAAATTTTTGGGAGTATATTATTCTTTTGTCCAGCCTCTAGCAGCTAGATACATGCTCTGAAAAAGCTAGATTTAGTTTTGCTCTCAATAAAACTATTCTAAAGTTGAAATATACAACTAATCATGATGTTGAATATTTACTTTTTAAGGTAAGCCCTGAGTTACATGCCAGAAAACAGTTACAAATTGGCATGTCCATTACTTTTTGGGATTGCCCATCCCTGGTCTAGACCAGGGGGGGTCACCAAACTTCTTTCACAGTGGGACGCATAACTATTTTGTTCAATATAGTATACTGAATAAAGAAAACCAACATATCTATTCACCAATACACAAACACAATTGCTGCAGCAAGCTTGTAATTGATTCTCTTAGGAACTTCATTGCAGATACACAAAAAAGCACTCTGATATCCAAAGTCGCAAAAAGTCGCCAAATTTTTCATTTCACCGATTTTCCTAAAAATTATATTACTATAAAATGCAAAAATCAGATTGGACCAATTTTGGCATTTTTACTTACACTTATTTTAATTTTTTTACATAGTTAGTTCATCTACAATCTATGATATTTCCATATAAATAATTATATTTTAGCTCATTTGTGGCACAGTGCAGCAGCGGCCGGTTCTGACCCGTGGGCCATAGTTTGGTGACCCCTGGTCTAGACTATTGCTGATATTCAACATCTACTCATTAATGCTTTTCATTTTTGTAAAAAAACAATTTTTTGGAACTCATTGATCACACCTTTTAGATATATTTTAATTATACAAATAAAATGTATGATTTCAAATTTATTTTATTATGAAAATTATTCTGTAATTGAAGTTACTAAAAATGTACCTCAAAGCTGCATCATCTAGCTCTTGAGGTCTATTAGTAGCACCCATCACAAGAATTCTTTCTTCTCCATTTGATCTTAACTAAAAACAAAATCAGAAATAATTTCAAAATTGTTAAACAAGTTGCATTAAAATTTTATTTCATAGATTAATTAATTAAAAAAAATTAATCTGAATTTGATTAAACACAAAATGAAAATTAAATATAATGTAAAGGTTTGATCTCCTATTTTTTTACAATTTTATCTACATATAAAAGACATTAAACATTAGTCATTAAAAAACATGAATACACTGAATGAAGCACTCTTAGAATATATCATTTACATTAAAATACCATAATATAAAAATTACAAAACTGTCTGGCTCCAGACAGTTAAGTGATAAAAGATTACAGCCTATCACTTTGGATATCCATGCTTGTGTCTAGATCAGAACCTCAAATTTCATGAATTTCTTTTGATATAAATATCAAGCTCTGTATATATCATCTCATCCTAATCAGGGCTTGATTGTGAAAAACTGAACCTCTATTGTGGACCAGACAACCTATAATGGACATGGATAGAAGATCCTTTTAGTGCATGCAGAGCAGAATGTTTAAAGTTGTTATATGTTATATTATATTGCACTATAAGCAATCTGATAAAAACCAAACTAATAATTTAAATAATTAAAAATTATTACAGTAATATAATTTACATTAAAACAAGCATTTTTCAATACTATGAATATGAAGGTCAGGAAATTGATTATTGTTTGATTACTGTTAAAAATCTATCTATCTGTGGATCCCTAACCCCAGGTTAAGAACTGCTTTAGACTGTTTAGAGTCAACAATCTACTTTTATTTATTTATTTTTATTCTTTTAAGAAATGCAAGAAAATAATAATAATTTTTTATTAGCAATTATCTTAAAATAAAATACTTTTTCTTTATAAAAAAAAAACTAACGAAACAGCATGACTTACAAGATGCAAAATATGTCAAATCATGCAAATGAAGTTCAAGAGAAATTAAAGCAGTCCTTAGAAAATTTGTAGTAGAAAATTAATATTACAGCAATAATTAAAAAAACTTTATGATGAAATGGAATAAAGTCTTGGCTAAGCCTACACACATTAACTTGGAATATTTGCCAAAATGCAGGAAAACTGTGCATTTTAAAAATGAAATTGAAATGATGTTTACTTTGTTTCTGATCAGTTCACTCACTTGTTATATCATTGCCTACTTATGTGGTTATGCACTTGCAGTAAACACAAGTCAGTCTCCTTTACTGAACCATGGTTTCAATTTTAATGAAAAACCAAAACAAAGTTTTAAAAAGAACAGAAAACGAAAATCTATTTCTATTTCAAAATTGTTATCAACATTATTTAATGAGTGAAATTTCATGTCAACTCATTAAAATGAAATATTCACTTTCCCACATGAAAAATTTGCAAATTAATAATCTGCATTTAAAAATATTTTCTGAATTGTCTCAATTAAATAGATAAATAGAATTTGTATCATCATTTTATAAACATTATTTTCCTTATTTTTCGTATTACAGTGATACCTCAGTATACGTCTGCTTTAGAATATGTCCAATTCAGAATACGTCCTGTTTGGACGAAGCAAATTTTGTTCGGTATACGACTTTTGTTCAATATACGACTTAATTCAATTATACGCGCATCGAACAAGTAGCACTATCGGTGTACTAGACCCAGACTAGATGTTCGTGGTGCCATGGTTTATAACTTTGTTAAATTTCTTCCGATTTTAATATGTAAGTAAAATTTTATTATTTTTATTAATCATGAATTGAAAAAGGCAAATGAAAAGCAACAGAAAACTAAAAAATTGACTAAAATCACAATGGAACTGAAAAAAAAAAATTGTTGAGAAATATGAAGGTGGTATGCGTGTTCGAGATTTAACTGTTACATACCATATTCCGAGAATGATGATATCAACAATCGTGAAAAATAAAGACATTATTAAACTTGCTAACATTGCGAAAGAGGTTAAATCAATTTCTAAACAGAGATCGAAGACTTTAGATCATGTTGAGAAATTGCTTTTGCTTTGGATAACTGGAAAACAGTGTGCTGGCAACAGCATATCAGAAGCAATTATTTGCAAGAAAGCTAAGAGATACATGCTGATCTCATGAAAAATCAAGCAGGAACTAGGTAGGAAAGTGAGGTGTTTAAAGTCAGACATTTTTTTTTTACATGAGAATGGATTAATCATTTTTACATTACTTCTTATGATAAAGGTTAGTTTGGTATACGTCCTATTCGGTATAAGTCCAAACACTTGAAACGGATTAAGGTCGTATACCGAGGTTCCACTGTATCTGTAATTTATTATAATATAAAAAAATATTACAATCAGAATATACTTTAAAAATATGGTCATAATTAAAAAAATANCAAATAAATAAATTTAACATTTAATTAAAATAAGTGATTGATTATAAATTTTCATGTAGAATGCAAATAAAACATTTTCATAAAATGCAACTGTGAGGGTCCAGAAATGAGCTGAAACCACACAAAAAAAGGAAAAAAGAAAAGGAAAAAAATTTTTTTTATAAAGCCATTTAAGAAAAGGGTATAAACTTCATGCCCATATAAGGGCATGTTTGATGGAATTGTTAGAAAAGAGAGAGTCTCGGGTTAAAACAATAGATGAATGTAGGTCCTAAGATTGAACATCTTCAATAGGGATCGAGTTGACAGAAGGTGTTGACTCATCCCATGATCTGCGTTCCAATCTCATTACATTTCATAATGCGATGGGACCAATTGGAGAATGGAGGCAAGTCAGCATCGACCTATCAAAATGTTCCATTTGTGTGGCACCATAATCCGAAAAGAAATCACCTCTGAATCTTGGCACTGAACTGGATTGCATCTCAACCTCGAATGGACTTTCTCCTTCCAATGCCCTGGTGCCATTGACTCCTGCAAAAACATCAGAGAACGTTCCTTTTTTGTGACCTTCGTCATCTGGAAAAAGGGACCCAGAAGATTTGGCCTCTGCTGCCCATTAAAAATGTATTATTGTTGTAAGATACTTTTTTGTTTCAATAAACTGGGTAACTGTAACGGGAGAGAGTTGTCTCTATGCCAAATGCTCCCACTCACATTCGAAGTGACTCGGACATTCTGATGTCACATATGGTTTGGCAACCTCACACAACATTATTCATTGACTGTTCAATAACAGCTGGTGTAACATATTCAATGAGTTGTGAAGTCATAGGTTTGAAAGATTTCACTACTTAACAAAGCAGTGATATGAAATAAAAAACTTTGATATTTATTTAAAATTTGTAATATTTGTATATAATGCTACAATTAGTTTAATTCAATTAAGCAGAACTCCCAGATGTTGTTTCCTTGAATTAAGCTCCTGAAAGCTTGTGGAATCAATAGTTATCACCATAAGAAAGACCTTAACTACAGTTGCAGTATTGCTGTTTTTTTTCATAAAACAGCTTCACAAGTAATGTGTATTCTGGCAAAGTGATTGTCATCATAGCTAATAAGAATGACATTCAACAGTAGTGGCCACTTTTTATACCCAGAACTTGGGTACAGCATATATACCTTTTCAAAGGAAACTGCTTTTTCATTGCTTGCAGTGTCAAAACTGCCATATTGGCAGGTTGTTACTAATTTTTACAAAAATGTCTTCCATATCCAGAAATGTCACCATACCAGATTTGGTTGTGTTTAAACTGCTAAGTCTCTCCATAGACAGCACTGAATAGAAATATTTTAATTTCTATCACCAAATATATTAAGATAATTAAAATTATATGATAAAAAAAAATGCTCAAATAATAATTACTTTTTCATTGAGAAATAGTTAAATTTAATAACACCAAATGATGATAAAAGTTTTCAAAGTTGTGTGTTCAGTACGCTAAATTCACGAATTTATAAAACTAATTTTATTTGTGTTTCATTGTTTTGTAATAAACATAACACAAAGTGGCTTTCTGTAAGAATTTCAGAATTTTTGCTAATAAATATGAAAATTTGAATGAATACAGAATATTAACTGTAAATTAAATATTACATTCTTCTTGTTATTTGAATAAAAGAACTCAATATTTTATAATGTTGAAAACTTTTTTAACAAAGCAGGTATATTTACTTGTAAATTGATATTTCAACAAAAGCATAGATTAAAAATCTATGTCAGATTAATAGCAAAGCATTTAACCTGATATTTCAACAAACATCAGGTTTCCTAAAAAATTTTAATAAAAACATTAATGATCAAATTTAAAGAAAAACAAATTTATATAAAGAATAATGTTCTTATAAGAAATGCATACACACATTCATTGACAAAAAAGTTATGCACTCAGATGGAATTGTCAGATTACTGCAAAACTTGGCATACAGCTATGTCTCAGATATGTAAATAATTACAATTGTAATCTGATTGTGTGTCAGATACTTTCACCAGAGTGCCTTAAAACTGCTATTGCAGTATACTATAAAAAGCAGTAAAACTCACTGTGTGTGGTGTTATTAAGCTTTTCCATTCGCGTGCTTTCGACAAATGTATTTCCGTCGTCTTCAGGCGAATAAGATACTTTTATATCGAACATGAATGTTTGAGACAGAGAAGAACACATACAAATTTAAATAAAACAATTTTTTGGACGACATTCAATATGAATCCACTACGTTTTTGAAATATGTACGATGATACGAATGTGAAGCATGGTACTGCTTCCCGTCAGTGATGTGACATGTGATGTAAATTGCTGTTTAATTGTTTCTATAGGGCAATCCATATATTGGGCAGTTCCAGAGTAGGTGCATTGCACGTTTCCAACATTGTTATATATAGCGACGACTCCAGTATAAAGAGTAGTCTTCAGTCGTTGTATGTTCTGAGTATAGTAGACGATTCCTATACAAATGATTGCAGTACCACGGGAAGCAGTACCATGGGAAGCAGTACCACGCATGCGCCGTATTGCATCACATTCGTATCATCGTACGTATTTCAAAAACGTAGCGGATTCATATTGAATGTCATTCAAAAAATCATTTTATTTAAATTTGTATGTGTTCTCCATCTCAAACATTCCCCCCAAAAACCATGGAAGAGAATTGTCTCATTGTGACACAAGAATGAATAACTCCAATGGCATCTTTGTCCAATTAGAAATTTTGATGGTAGAGCAAGATACTAGTTTTTGGACTTAAATTGGCTTGTTTGCTGTTATGTAAGTTAATAAGGATTGCATCCATGAGGTATTTGAATACCTAGCACTAGTTCTTGAGAACAAAGAATTTTTTGCAATAAAATAGTTCTAAATTCTTGCATTCAAATATTCCCATCTTTAGTTGTATTTGTAAAAGAGGGTGAGAGAGCCGTCAGTCATTTAGCTGACTAACTTAGCCCATTTAGATAGGAAACAGAAAGAAGATTCAAAAGAAGGTAAGGTGATAAGCAGCAAGAGGAAGTTAGATAGATAGGAAGGATGAAGGAAGTGCCCATGGGTTCCATGAGTGCCCACAACGCCTCAACATACTAAATAAAACAAAATACGGTTACATGATACAATAATAGCAGGGAAATCCATATAAACTAAATTGCATGACAATATATACAGTACCCATCTTTAGTCGGTATCACTTTGGACTAATTTGGATTAAACCTGGTAATGAAAATGTTTATGTATGTAATAATGATTTCACTACAGAAAACGGAATGTAACTGTGTGATATTTATCTGATGCAATTTACACATTACAAAAAGGAGAAAGAAAGAAAAATAAAATAAAATACTAAAACCTGTTCAAAGAGGAACTTAAATTAGCATAATTATTTGTTTCTATGTTTGTTTGTTATTTGTATAGTATTGCAGTAAAATTTCAAAAATACAGTAAGCAAATGGTTAAAAATATTACAATCAGAATATACTTTAAAAATATGGTCATAATTAAAAAAATAATAATAATAATGAGAAGGTCAGTCAAAAACTCTAAAAGTTTATCATTTTTTCAAAAAATTTGTGCATTTCTTAAATTACAGCATTCTTTTAATTAAAAAGTTTGTACTTGATGCTTACTGTTCTTTCAATTAGTTGTATTTCCTTTGGCATTAGCACAAGGCTGTTGTTGAGAACAAATCACACAGGAACTCTCTTCTTGATGGATAAAGTAGGTTTATTTTCTATAATTTAAAAGGATATGCATTTCGGGCATTATTGTGCTAATTCCAAAGGAAATATAAAAATATTTGTATGTTAAGATATGTTGTGCAGGGTTTTAGACCTCACAGCACATGTTTTTCAACTTTCTTGCATTTAAAATTTTATAAAAAAACATAGCTGAAAAATTTCTAACTTTTCAACCTAGATGACATGCAGTTGACACTATTTTCACTACACAAATACTTTTTGAGAAAACAAAAGCTGGAGTTTGAGAGACCCACATAACTCAGAATACATTAAATTCTGGAAAAATTCATGAGCCTTGCAGGAAAAAATTATGGGCATTGAATGCTGTAACCATTGCTTTAAATGAGTGCAATTTGACAACAGTAATTCAAAATAAATTTACTTTTACAAAAATACCATTCCTTATATTCTCTGCTGCACAATAAAAACAAGAAAGCAACAATGGGACATAGAAGGCATCACATTTCAACATGCAACACAACACGACAAAAATATTTTCATAATGCAAACTTAAAATTGTAAAATTTGTTCACTTCATGACAGTGTTAATGAGGCATCCTGACAAATGTATTTATTTCATTAGTTATAAAGCTAGTAAATTTATACAGTCAATATGATATAATTGCATAAGAAATTTTTCATGGTCCACACATTACTTCTTCAACTGTTTCATTTTCTATACAGAAAACATTCTTGGTTAAACAACTTGCAAAAAATTGATATTTTCTGTAATATTTTAGGAAATATTAATTTTTGAATTAAGTTAATAGATTTTTGTTAACTGTGTGACTAAAAAAAATGAAGGTCAGCATTAACTCTACTGCTACTTTCCTTTCAAAGTCAGGATAGGAAAACTTTATTACTTAATAGTTTTCCTATCCTGACTCTGAAAGAGAACACATTCCTCTCCAATTACAAACAAACCTGATGTCAATCCACAAAACCTGATATAATTTATAGCAAAATGAATTTTGATATCTTTATTTTATTGCTTTATCAATCAAATTACAATAAACCTAAAATACGTATTTTCATCAACCCACAAGTATTTTACATTGTTAGAAAGATGACAAAATACAAAAATAAGGTATAATTCTAGTTTCTGCACAATAAAAATGATAATAAAAACAAAGATTTTTAAATGTACACTCTTTTCTCATTCTTTTTATTCTTAGTAATAAACTGCTAGTGTTAAAAAATTTTGAAAGTAGTTTTTTTAAGAAACTTCAGTTAGAATACATGATAAATAACTTATCTTTTGAAATAAACACTGCAATAGATTTTCTGAAATGTTAATGTTAGGATTTATATAATATTCTATAATTGTCAGTGTACACACATGCACACAGCTAATTATAAAACAGTCTTCCAGTTTCCAAAACAGATTGTTCTATGAATAGATTAACAATGAAGTTAGTGCTATCTATAAGAATTCATATTTTTACAAATGTCTGATTGCAATCTCAACAAAAATTTAAAAATCATTTACATAGAGATAAAAAAATCAATGGCAGAAAATATAGGTAAATCAAGCAATTGTATAATCATCATTTATTTTAGTTAATGTTCAAAAGCAATACTTACACCATCAAATTCCAAAAGAAATTCTGTTTTCAATCTCCTACTTGCTTCATGTTCATTTTCCTTCCTTTCATTTAATAGTGAATCAACTTCATCTAAATCATATATAAAAACAGTAACAATGAATGCTGTTTCAATTTGATTTGCATCAACTAATAATTAATAGTAATTAAATTTTTACCTATAAATACAATGCTAGGTTGAAGTTCCCTGGCAACAGCAAACAAGGCACGAACTAACTTCTCTCCCTCGCCAACCTTAAAAAACAAATTTTGATATAACTTATTGGAAACAAAATGTAATCTCTCAATAATTTTCTAAATAGTATAGAAATTTCATAAAGTAAAAACAACAAATTTATTTATTATTGTAAAATCACTTAAATGTTGTGGTGTTACCACGGTGAATTATTAAAATATAAATATAAAATGTTCACGAGCGCTTTCGGTAACGTATAGTTACCATCTTCAGGTGAAATGAATACTACAGTTTTCTGTATCAGAGTTGTAGCATTTCTTGGAAAAGAAGGCTATTTCCAAGTAAAGTTTTATTATCTTCAGAATCCAGTTAAAAATAAATTATATCCTCAATCGTTCCTTACCAACAAAGAGGACCTAAGAATAGCACATCCCCATTACCATTTCTGGGTCATGCATCACTCAAAATTGTACACTTGTTTAGAAAAAAATGGCTACATGCTACCGCTATCCACGCAGCCAACATTAAGAAGATTGCTAACTAATGACAGAGACCCCATCGATATGAAAGAGAAATCGGGAGTTTATCTTATTCCATTACAACATAATGGACCTGGAGAAGATACTTATTATATAGGAGCGACTGCTAGACTATCATCATGCATCTCAGAACATCAGGATGACATCAGTAATAACCGGCCATCAACGGAATTAGCCAGAAAAATCCTTGATCAAGACTACCGGCTGGCTTGGGACCAAATGAAACTACTGAAAAGATGCAATAATCATATTTGTGAAAACCTATATATTTCAACGCTTTCACCATGTAATACCACAACTCTGGAAATGTCTAAAACATGGACTACTTTATTTAAACGTTACAAATTAGATTGCTAGAGCTACATGGTCGCATAGCAACCATAGTTTGCAAATTTTTATAATATTCCATTCCATTTCAAAACATTTTCGAACTGCAAGAAAATTTCAATTTACATTGGAGTTCCATTTAGCCGCATCGCTTTTTCAAGAAGTGCTACAACTCTGATACAGAAAACTGTAGTATTCATTTCACCTGAAGATGGTAACTATACTTTACCAAAAGTGCTTGTGAACATTTTATATTTATATTTTAATAATTCACCGTGGTAACACCACAACACATAGGTGATTTTACAATAATTATAAAGTTGGTGTGAAGTGATAACTAATTTTATTATGGAAAACAATTTTATTAAATTTTAATAGATTAAAAAATGAAACAATTTATTAATTATATCTAGAAAAATATTGAAGATTGTTTTGTGTGGAAGAAAACCATACAAAACTAATTTATTAAAATGATTATAAATAAAGCAAGTTTGGTTAATTTTCCAATTATCATATATACTACATTAATTAGAAATGGTAATTTTAGGATTCATTTAATGTCATATTTTCAATGGTAAATACAATATTGTAATAAGTACTTAATTTGAATCAAACTAAAATTGAATTATTTCTTATTTATATTTAAAATTATAAGTATAAATATAATTTCATAAGGAAGTTACTTTTTTATTATACTATTTATTGATTTATTATACAGTAGAGCGTCGATTTTCTGAAAGTCAATCATCCGAAAGAATTCCAGTCGGCAAATTTAAATTTTCGCCAGTGCTGTGGCGCTTCAATCTTTGGCTATGTCTTGGGCTACTCAAATATTTTACGTTTTTGATACTAAATTAACATCTGAAGTATAATTTTTTATTGTTTTTATATTTTTCAATATATTTATTTTGTTTGTACAAAATTTAAAAAAAAAATTTTTAACGATACAATAGTCTTTGTTAGACTTAACATCGACGAAAATTCAACGCAAAGCGACACGCGACGGATAAAAATTTTAACATCAAATTACATTAAACTATTTTTTCGTACATAAATTGGTTATCCGAAATATCAGTTATACGAACAACCCCAGTCCCCAATTGATTCGGAAAATTGACGCTCTACTGTACTTCTATTTATTGATTTTATATAATTTTGTATAGGGACCTTGAATAAGTTCTTGCTGTTTTCCAACAGATGGCATTACCAGAATCACGTGTGTGTATTTTTAGATGGTGACACATCTGTAAGGAAGTACAATAAGTGACCTTGAAATTCAATGTATGTCATTTCGCCAAAGTGTAAACAACTTATTTTTTCATTATGTTAAACATGTTGAGTTTCGTGCCAAAAAAAGAATATTTACAGGGAATTTTATTGCACTATTTTATTCAAACAAAATCTGCAGCTGAAACACACAAAATTCTTGTTGAGACTTACGGCAACCATGCTCTATCGGAAACAACATGCAGAGATTGGTTTAGATGCTTCAAAAATAATGATTTTGATGTTGAAGATAAAGAACAATCTGGCGTACCAAAAAAGTTTGAAGACAAGGAATTGGAGGCATTACTTCATGAATACTCATGTCAGACACTAGTTGAACTTGCAGAATCATTAGGAGTTGATCACACAACAGTTTCAAACAGTTTCAGGAGTTTTTAAAACACCTGGCATGGTAGACACACTGCACCTTTCTCTAAAATATCATTAAAACTAATTAGTTTGTTTTTATAGAAGTCTTGCTTTTGCATTTGTCAATTTAATCTTGCACACCCCTATATTTAATGCATCATATGTATTTCTAAATGCAAAATAATCTATAATTAAGATATTTCAAAAAAGAAAATTTGAGAACAGTTTTAATGAAAAACATTGTTTTAGAAGCTTATATTCATTATAAATATAAAAAAATAGACATATTTTTTATTTGATAGTACAGGTAACCCCCATATAACACGGCACTTCTATAGCATGGATTCACTCTAACACGGTTCCAGAATTGGGAACATCCCCCTATAACACGGTGCTTTTATAGCATGGGTTCACTCTAATGCGGTTCGGGAATTGGGTAAAACCCTCATACAACATAAAATGTAATAAAGAGTGCATTCTTTTATACCTCTGAGTGACTCCGTGCGAGCATTCTAATTATTTTCGTGGCTACTTTGAATGCTCTTTCAACAAATAATCCATTTAATGGTTAAATTTTACAATTGGGACCCTTCTTTTGCCTCTAAAAGCTCATTTTAGAATTATAGATTTCTCCACACGATACTATCAATAGTGCGGCCGCCGCCATCTTTCTTTCATCGTCATTCCTAAATGCCTACAAACAGCAGCGCACTCCCGTTGCAGAGCGACTGCTATTAACGAATGCACCCACAAACTGTTACCAGTTGATGATACTCATGCTGAGATCATCATATAGGATGAATAATCCTCTGGTAAAATATTTACTTAAATAATAAATAAGTATTTTACCTATGAAAAAAATGAATAATAAATCCGATTTAAATAAGGATTTAACAACATGTTTTTTAATTTTTGGAACCTAACCCCCCTTTTCACACTAGTTCTTTGTTTCATATAACACAGATTCGCATAATATGGCAATTTTCTGGAATGTAACTCCCGTGTTATACAGGGGTTACCTGTATATATTTGATTTCATTCAATTCAAAGCTTTAAAAGAACTTACATATTTTGAAGTAAGTGTTGCTGCACTTATATTTAAAAATGTTGAATTGGACTCATGAGCAACAGCTTTAGCCTAATAAAAACAAAAAAATACAATAAACATTTGAAAAATAAACATTTTATCTATTGTATTATGGTTTACAATATATCCTTAAATTAAATAAATGTTGAAGTTTCACACAGTCTTCAGTTATACTATTTTAATACATAGTGAGTTATAGAATAAAATTCAAATATTTGAATACAACAAATCAGAAACTAAAAGATCAAAATAATGTCTACAGCTATTTCCTCTGCATATTGAACATGCTTACAAAAAATAAAATATTTCTTAATTTGTGTTTCTACTAATATCTGGTTATAAATGTATGATGTGGTTTCTCCCTTGTTCTTCTTTACTATTGTTTTATATTCTTACTTAATTTATAATGAATGCAATCTGTTAAATTTTTATCAAAGTACATTTATAATTTTTCTCATTTTCCAAAATTATATTTAAATGATACATATATCTTATAACTTGTTTCAATTACTTGTAATTGCATTTATTATCTTTTGTATCTTCAAGGAGAAAATTAAAATATTTTTATTACAATTTTCTAATGTTATGAATTATGTCCATGCAAAATTTTACTTCATTCAATTTATTAGATTTATTTCAGAATAAACTACATAACAAATATTCTAATTGCATTTATATTGTAATTTACTTGTTTTATAAACATAAATAATCATGTGTTTAATAATCTGAAAATTTAAATCTAATTTGTTACATTATTTCAACAGCTTACATTAGAAAATAAAAATTTAAAATGAGAAAATGATTTTTACAAGTTTTATATAAAGTATTACTTACCAACATAGTTTTTCCATTACCAGGTGGACCAAATAATAAGAGCCCTCTTGGAGGTGTACGTAACCCAGTGAAAAGCTGAAATGTTAAATATTTTTGATATATGAAATTTCTAGAAATGATAAAGATAATTCTTGCATCATAATTACTGTATATAATTCTATTGTTTTATTATGACAAGTCAATTTTAATTTTGATTCAAGAAATTCTATAAACTAATTTTATTTATAGGCAAAACTATAACAGTTTTGCAGAATAGATACAAAGGATTTGCAAGAAATGAGGAATTGCTCACATCATCTTGCTTTCTATTTATTAAAATAAATACAGTAGACATTCAATTTAATAGACAAAAAAAATTTTGTCTTAAAGGAAACATTTATAACCGTGTTTTTATTCATGAATAGAGCACAGCACACTAAAAGATTGGGTTAATGTGTATAAATTACTCAATGTACATTATATTAATAATAAATTACTCCTTCATAAACTAATGAATCAAATCTGTGCTGCTTTCCAGGAGTATCCTAATTATATAAAAATTTCTAATGTAAGTACTTTTGAGCTGATAAGCCCGTCATCACAGGCCCCAAACATATTTCACAAAATTTAGAACGTAGAACATATCTTATTTCAATAGTTTTAAAACTACATATCCAAATATTATCAAATGTTAAGTACAAAATTCAAAACTTAGAAATGTTGTTAGCTACAATTTAAAATGCTCTTATTTACACTTAACCAAATATAATTAAATATTTTAATAAAAATATAATTAAGTGTATCTATGAATCAACAGCACTAAACATTATAAATTTATTGTATATTAACATAAAAATTACAAGGGACTATATGTAATAACAGTGAAAAATGGAAAATCTAATTAAAATTACATGCCTAATTATGAAAAAACAAACATATCCTTAAAAAATATCTATTAAAAAAAACCATAGTGAATACGTTAAGAATAATCATTTTACAAAATATATATACTTCGGGTCTTTGGGTTGGCAAGATAACCATCTCCCTCAGTGCTTGTTTGGCTACTTCTTGTCCAGCTAGAATTAAAAACAATACTTTTTATTTTGGATTTTTTATTTTAGAACAGAAAGTAAAATTTATTAATAAAACTTAATTAATTTTTAAATAATTACATAGCATAAAAATACTTATTCACATAAATTGCCAATTTTTATAATAATAATAATATACTCATGAACAAACAAAATCACATATATCATATACATTGCTGTTCCAAACACCCACAACATATAAAATATATACATTGAAAAAATTAGTATAATCTCAGAACTTGCCCACAAAATAAGCATCTGCAAAGAATTGACAGGGTACAGTACATATTGTGCCAGTAGTCCTTTATTGTGCAGGCATCATACTACATACATGAAAGTCTGAAAATGTATGTGATGTTTTTAAGACCTAAATATTACAGAAATTCTTCAACACAGGAACATATATGAGCATCAGGTAACTGCAGTAATTTTTACACTTTGAGCAACTGAATGATACACATTCCACCAAAACCATAATAATTCAAAGCAAGCTTCAACAATTCCTCAACAAGTGCTCAAGCTGTGGCATATGATTTGTTCATTCCCTGGTCTTCAGAGTAACAAGTATTACAGACCATTTTGCATTGGTGATCATACAAAATCCATATGTTGCAACAGTTAAAACCACATACAAAGGTCATACTAGTACATGTAGTATGACCTTTAGCACTTTTAAGCAAAAAGTAAAACAAACAAATGTGTATTTTTCTCCATACATTTTATTTCTTTGAAATTTTTTAAAGTATGAAAATTAAATTTCTAGGAAAACTTGTAGAACTAATGTTCAGCACTAAAAATTGTAAACAAAAATGTTTTGAGGCTAGAACCCATATTTTAAAGTTACAAATCACTGTGTGTTGTATCATCCTCTATCATGGTTGCATCAGCTAATGTTCAGAACGTGTTATGGCTTTTCTCAATCATCACAATGCGTAGTAGTCAAATATCATGAAAGCCATGACATGAATTTTACTTTGTGGTCATTTTGAATTGGCCACATGTTGTGGCTGTTTCTACAAGTGCCACAATGCAAATTTCACTTTGTGGTCGTTCTTTTTGCTCAATGAGCATTTTCGGTCTTCGAACCTAACATATATATTATTTGATAAAAAATGTTTGTTCTTTACAACTGAAAATCTTTAACTTGACAAATTCTATATATATGTATATAATGCATATGCAACTTTTTATTTATGTACATAATTGTTCTCTAATGTTTTCTGCAAACCTTTCCAATGTCCCATGATTCCATACTATATGCACTACAATAGCAAAAATATCTAGTGATGGAATAATATAACAGGACATTAATGAGCAATAGAATATACAATGGAAACAAACATTTTTATTTATTTGACAATGAATTGTTAATAACTACTATATTAATAGTTGTAGTATTTTAGGTAAAAAATAACTTGCTTAAATATAAATATTTCACTATAACAAAACATTAACACAATTCAAATATATTATACATACAAAAATAAATAGCAAATCTTTCAAAATTTTATTTACCTATATCTTCAAAGCTCACAGTAGGTCCATTATCTACAATTTCATCTAAAATGATATGAGCCAGTTTTGTATCAACCCCTCTCAAAGTTGTCCTACTTAGTTTTTGAGTTCTTGTTGTGGATAGTAATGTTTTGGAGGGCGAGTTCCTTCCCTAAACAAAAAAATTAATGTAATATGTTAAAAAATTTAAAAATAAATTTNATAATTAAGTGTATCTATGAATCAACAGCACTAAACATTATAAATTTATTGTATATTAACATAAAAATTACAAGGGACTATATGTAATAACAGTGAAAAATGGAAAATCTAATTAAAATTACATGCCTAATTATGAAAAAACAAACATATCCTTAAAAAATATCTATTAAAAAAAACCATAGTGAATACGTTAAGAATAATCATTTTACAAAATATATATACTTCGGGTCTTTGGGTTGGCAAGATAACCATCTCCCTCAGTGCTTGTTTGGCTACTTCTTGTCCAGCTAGAATTAAAAACAATACTTTTTATTTTGGATTTTTTATTTTAGAACAGAAAGTAAAATTTATTAATAAAACTTAATTAATTTTTAAATAATTACATAGCATAAAAATACTTATTCACATAAATTGCCAATTTTTATAATAATAATAATATACTCATGAACAAACAAAATCACATATATCATATACATTGCTGTTCCAAACACCCACAACATATAAAATATATACATTGAAAAAATTAGTATAATCTCAGAACTTGCCCACAAAATAAGCATCTGCAAAGAATTGACAGGGTACAGTACATATTGTGCCAGTAGTCCTTTATTGTGCAGGCATCATACTACATACATGAAAGTCTGAAAATGTATGTGATGTTTTTAAGACCTAAATATTACAGAAATTCTTCAACACAGGAACATATATGAGCATCAGGTAACTGCAGTAATTTTTACACTTTGAGCAACTGAATGATACACATTCCACCAAAACCATAATAATTCAAAGCAAGCTTCAACAATTCCTCAACAAGTGCTCAAGCTGTGGCATATGATTTGTTCATTCCCTGGTCTTCAGAGTAACAAGTATTACAGACCATTTTGCATTGGTGATCATACAAAATCCATATGTTGCAACAGTTAAAACCACATACAAAGGTCATACTAGTACATGTAGTATGACCTTTAGCACTTTTAAGCAAAAAGTAAAACAAACAAATGTGTATTTTTCTCCATACATTTTATTTCTTTGAAATTTTTTAAAGTATGAAAATTAAATTTCTAGGAAAACTTGTAGAACTAATGTTCAGCACTAAAAATTGTAAACAAAAATGTTTTGAGGCTAGAACCCATATTTTAAAGTTACAAATCACTGTGTGTTGTATCATCCTCTATCATGGTTGCATCAGCTAATGTTCAGAACGTGTTATGGCTTTTCTCAATCATCACAATGCGTAGTAGTCAAATATCATGAAAGCCATGACATGAATTTTACTTTGTGGTCATTTTGAATTGGCCACATGTTGTGGCTGTTTCTACAAGTGCCACAATGCAAATTTCACTTTGTGGTCGTTCTTTTTGCTCAATGAGCATTTTCGGTCTTCGAACCTAACATATATATTATTTGATAAAAAATGTTTGTTCTTTACAACTGAAAATCTTTAACTTGACAAATTCTATATATATGTATATAATGCATATGCAACTTTTTATTTATGTACATAATTGTTCTCTAATGTTTTCTGCAAACCTTTCCAATGTCCCATGATTCCATACTATATGCACTACAATAGCAAAAATATCTAGTGATGGAATAATATAACAGGACATTAATGAGCAATAGAATATACAATGGAAACAAACATTTTTATTTATTTGACAATGAATTGTTAATAACTACTATATTAATAGTTGTAGTATTTTAGGTAAAAAATAACTTGCTTAAATATAAATATTTCACTATAACAAAACATTAACACAATTCAAATATATTATACATACAAAAATAAATAGCAAATCTTTCAAAATTTTATTTACCTATATCTTCAAAGCTCACAGTAGGTCCATTATCTACAATTTCATCTAAAATGATATGAGCCAGTTTTGTATCAACCCCTCTCAAAGTTGTCCTACTTAGTTTTTGAGTTCTTGTTGTGGATAGTAATGTTTTGGAGGGCGAGTTCCTTCCCTAAACAAAAAAATTAATGTAATATGTTAAAAAATTTAAAAATAAATTTAAATAAAAATAATTAAACAGATCTAATGAAATTCATACTACTACTAATTAAGTAACAAAAACTTTTTATTTAAGAAATGTTTTTACTGTGTGAGTCATCATCCCCTCTAATACCTTAATTAATTAAAGAATAGTCCATATAATGTCCTTTTAATTATTGGAATTTATTAGAAATTAAAACTATAAATAATTAGTACTGAAGATGATGTGTGGAGTCAAAAACATTTCTCAAATAATAAAATTTTGGTATCCTTAATTAATTAGCAGTTGCATGAATCTTGTTAAATATAGAGCCAAGTTTATTAGAACATTACAATAAATAGATCTAAATTATTTATATATAAAAATATTAAGGTAACTTAGTATTTAATAACAATTCACCGTCATAGAAAATATCGATCTGACAATAATATATTCATTTACAGTACGTAGATATGGCATATTTTTATAGTTCTTTGGTCTTCTTTTTTTTATTTCATATTTTCTTCTAGAATATTGCTTCTAGAAGATTATAAATGCATGTCAGATTTTCTGTTAAGCTATTTTTCTCATTACAAATTATATCATTTAATTATTGAAGTTTATATGTTTGTTTTGATTTATTCAAAATGAAATTAAAAGTCAAGAACATGAAATTTTCATTTTTCCTAGAGTGTAATGCAAAACTCAATAAAAAAAAAGTATATGTCAAATAAATCTATTTTATAAAATATTGTGTAGTGTATGTAGTATAACACCAATAGAAGAGAGGACAACCTTATCCATCCTCTACATCTGTCTTATTTCTTGAGCAAGTGGAGTGTACTTGTTGATTTTTTCAGTGTGAGCAATTTTTATGTTACAAGTGTTTGAAACAGAGATGTCTATTACATAAGTGATCCTACTGCATTTGTCAATGAGTGATGTCAGGTTGTGATAAATTGTTTCATCTGTGATTATGACTGTCGTAGTATATTTTGTGTCATTTTCTAAACTGCCTGTGGAGTATATTTATAGTATGGTACTTGGATGTTTAATAATCTGTATTTGTGTGCAAGCTCTTGGTATATTATATTTGCTATTTGATTATGCCTGTGTAAATAGTCTGTGCTAAGAGCTTGCAACCAGAAGTTATATGTTGTATTGTTTCTGGCAAAATGTGGCATTTTCTGCAAGAGTTATTTGTTAGTAATTATCCTTCAGGATGTGCTTTCTATAGTTTATGGTGTATGTGATCTGATCTTGAATGGCAACCATAAACCCCCTCAGTCCCTCCACAATGCAGATTAGGTGTGTCCTGCATGTCTTTGCACTCCTCTTTGATCCAGATTCAGCATTGTGCATGAAAGCAATAGACCAAAGAGAAGATCAACAATTTGTGAGTTCTTCTTCACTTGGCATGCCATTATGTTGAGAATCAGTACTGATTTGGTATTAATTTGCTTATAGAAGAGTTTTTTTTGTCATCTGTGAATAACTTATTTTGTTGTTTCTGTACAGATCAAATTTTGTATTGTTTGAATTGCCAAACTTTGGCTGCAAGTTTTTGTTTCCATGTGTCAATGTATTCTGCAATGTAAACATTGTGTTGTTTGTGCTTGGTGTGTGTTTTAATTTTCTTGAAAATTTTTTTACTTGTTTCATTAATTTAGGTGTTTTGTTATTAGTGTATTGTGTCAGTCTGCCTAGCTGCTGTCTAATATTGTGTTTCTTTTCTTCTTTGCCAGGCCGGCTTCTGAAAAGTTTTTAATTTGTGCACTTTTATCTGTGGATGTAGTTTTAATCCATGGTAGGTCACTACTGTATTGCATCAGCATAGTGTGTAGATGTTTGAGAGTGTAGAAACAGAATGAGTACAATCTGGTAATATGTAAGTGTTAATATAATGTAATATTTTCCCTACTAATTTAGAAGTGTTAATTTTGGAAATGCATGGGCAAGTCAGTGTCTGTAAATTTACTGAGTGCTTCTTGGAAAAGGAGAGAGAGAGTGTGAATTAAACCTAAATCTATTTCAGGCAGTGAAAAAGTGTTGATATTATCAGCATCAGTGAAAATAGTGATGGTAGGAACAGTATTGTCAATGTATGTATCTTGTCGATCCTGATGAATAATGTGATGTTGGGAGTACTTGTTTGTTGGAGTAATTGTTCTGCAATTTGTTGTTTGATATGTTCTAGTGTTGTTTGTGGTATAAGGTTGTTATGTATAATTGTTCTTTTTTGATCAACAACCTTTTGTACAGTGAGTTTGAATAAGGATAATGTTGTGAAAACAAGCGATGTAACTATTGTCTGTATGCTGTCACATCTGTTTTGAGTTTTGTGATGATGTAATAAGTACAGATGATAAACTTGTTCATTTCCGATGTCTATTTCATTTGTTGGCATGGTTTACCTGCCTTAGTGGTCTGTGGCTGGATTGCATCAGAAACATCATTAGGCTGGTTTCCTAAAACTGATGTGGTCACTGACAACCTTTTCCATTCCTCTGTTAATTAAAATAGGTAAGAAGAAATATTGCATTTAATGGTTTTCAGATGGAGTACATTGTAAGATAAGGACACAGTATGAGGTTCATAGAAAAGTTTCTCTAAGAATATTTCCAAGCCTTGACCATGAAAGGTATGAAAAAGATCTACTGACTGGTCAGTCAGTAGATCTTGTTCATACCTTTCATGTTCAGCAAGTCACAGATGTTTGTAATGTGTGGCTTTTGCATTTGAAACTTCTTACTTTGCTGCAGATTTTAGTTTTCAACAGAACTAAAAGCAGCCACCAGTTCTTAAGTGTAGCCATGTTTTGTAGGCAAGTTTCTTCACCGTGATCATTGTACTTCATTGTTCCACCACTACATTGATAAGCTAGTTATTTGCTTATCTGTTACCGCTAAAGCTCGAAACTCGTTAATCCACAGATTACCTAGTGTAATCTGTTAAAGTTGTGAAAATTGTTCCATTTCTCAAATTACCTAGATAATGTGCAGAGTATCTAGGTAATCCGCACATTACCTACTAGGCACTCGGTAAAGTGAAAATAAGATCTTTGCCACAAATAAATGTACCACAAATAGGTGTGCTTGTCGCAGAAACCAATTGCTATGAAATTCAAAGTGTCACCAATCTTTAGACTGCACAATTAGATAATGTTACCTATGGTGGGTAAAATGGCGGCTTGTCTCTGATTCCAGCAAAGAGAAGAAAGGAAACAGTGGGGATGCACCTTCAAACCTAACCTAACCTAACCTATTCTAATAATTTGGTTGGTAATAATTATGATGATTTATTAAAATAGGTTAGGTTAGGACAGAACGTGCATCCCCACTGTTTCCTTTCTTCTGTTTGCTGGAATCAGAGACGAGCCGCCATCTTACTCATCATAGGTAACATTAACTGCACAATTATATCATGCGATCACCAGAAAAAGTATGATAACTTTATTATTTTTCGTCTCCGGTCCAAAAGTAGGGTATCATTGAAGTCGTCTCGGTCCCTTCAGTTCAGATAGATACTCAAAGTCCCGAAATTCCATAGGTGGTTATTTATATAATAATTTCCCTAATTGTATTAATATTTTAAATCGTTTGATTTTTTGTATGTTTTTTAATTGGTTGATGATTGCTTCTATCAACTAATTTGTCGATTGTTTGATTGTATTAACTTGATTCTTTAGATATCAAAAATAAAATAAAGAACATTATGTTAATTTAAGCGTACAGAAATGTTGCTGTTGTTTCAGAAAAGATCTTATTTTCACTTTATCGAGTGCCTAGTAGATAATTTGCAGATTACCTAGATAACCTGCACATTACCTAGGTAATTTGAGAAATAGAACAATTTTAGCAACTTTAACGGATCACCCTAGTTAATCTGCAGATTAGCTAGGTAATCTGCAGATTAACGAGTTTCCGAGCTTTAGCGGTAACATATCAATGTAGAAAATTCTGGGCTTTGTGATTCCCAAGATAGTTGCCACATAGATTTTAACTTACACAGAAACTTTATGCCAAATAGATGAGATTGCTTGTTTTAAAGTCCACATTTAAACGTCCACAGTGTGGTCTTCACTTCGGCTTGGTGTTCTGAAAGTTTCTACATTTAACATGCTCAGTCCTAGTTGTTGGAATGTAGGTAAATATGGAGCTAAAAGTCAAGACCCAGTAGTTTCCACGTGGCAATATTATCTTATGGTAAAACTTTTGTGTTGATCATCAGTTTTAGATCCTATCTTCATAGCAGCCAGTAACTGATGTGTATGGCATGGCTGCTACTGTTATAGGTGTGATCACTTCTTAATAATGATGCTGGCAAGCCTTGATATATTCCAGGATGCAAATGCCATTGTCATTGAACACACCATATCTGTCTACAATTGGACTTGCTCAAAGCCTTCTCTTGTGCACCTAATATACCTATTTAAATCTCTACCTAAAAAGAAAATCTCATCAGCACTAGCATTTTGGAGATGTGTTTTGAAGTTGTAAAATTTGTCTTTTTCATTGCTTCATGCATTTTATCCATAGCCATAAGATAATTCACAGGATGCCAGTATGTTTCAATCCTGACTGATATTAGGCAGTCTGAGGTTTGCTTGACTTTATATTAAATGAAAGTTTTTACAAGTTAATACCTTAGAGGAGGTTGCAACAGTGGGCGGCTGAGAAAATTGACGACGGATAGTTGGTGGAGTTGTTGCAGTCTTCCTTGAAGTACTGGAACCAGAAAGACGAGGTGAAGATGGCACATTGCGTGGCAGTGTCTGGCTTTTGGAAGGCAAACTAATTTTGCGTGCAGGAGCTGCTGTCTTCCTATCTGAAGCTACAAAATAAACAAATTTTAAATATTTCAAATATATAATTTAAATATATATGACAATAATAACAAAAATTTTAAACAAAAGATAAAATTTTTAATATAATTTATATACTTAAAATTAATCTTAAAAGATATTTTCATGAGTATCATAACTTTAAATTTAATTTTAAAAATTAACGATTAAGTTTACATTCAACTAATATAATTGAAAAGCTCAGTGACAAATTTTTACAAATGTTTATTGATTAAAGTATCAAAAAATTATGCATTATCAACATGAGTATCTTCTAAACAATTAATTAAGATCCAAATAAACTTTCATGTCTTTCTGGCTCCTCTTCAGAGCTTTTTCCAAAAAAGAAAATTGAATATTACAATTCTAAAAACATTCCAAATAATTTAAAAATTTTAAATAATTTTTTTCCATGTTTTGCAATTAAGCAAAACCAGGCAATTCAAGTACCTTATACAGCCTATCCACAAATTTAAATACAAACTTATAAACATATATACAGCCCATTAACATAAAAATTCGCAAGTTTAAATTCAAATTTTATAATTGTTTGAATTAGTGAATGGTTCATGGAAGGTGTTGAGATAAATTGTCAGATTTCATTCAATTGCAGAATGAGAAGAAAATTTTTCAAACAACAACAATTTTAAAAAATTGAACATGGTTTTAAAATTGTAATGTTTAATGTTTATTTTTGGAGTTACATTTATGAAGATGAGCAAGTGAGACACAAAATTATCTGTATTTTAAACATTTAGTAGATTAATTCCAATAAAATGTAATTTTCTTGCTTTAAATTTTGAAGTTATTAATTCAATATAATAAAATTTGTAATTTTATTGAATTTAGAATGTGATAAATATACAATGTTATTTTCATATGCATGTTTGGGAATTTTAAAACTTTCTTTTCTCTCTTATTTTGAGTCACTGAATTCTAATAGTTGAATAAAGAAAAATTATTATATTAATCTTATTTCAACTTCAAAGAAATTTTTAGCTTATAAGCTGTATATAGTGTTTGAAAACATATCAAAATATTTTGATTTTTTAACCTATTTTTTTTTACCTAAAAAATTTAATTCAAGTGTAATATTTTTTTATGACAATGAAAATTAGAATTTATGGTTTCATACTGCAATGAAAATAAGCTAATTTTTTCTGTCAATACAATTAGAATTTATGAAAAGATTCAAAACTTTGTGTTTAACAAATAAAACAAACTCAAGTTTGTTTGTTATCCTATTCAGATATATCATAAAACAATATAATAATGTGTAAAATCTTAGTTTAAGCCTACTTTATATATGTGAAATTCAAATTTCACTGCTAAAAAGATTCATTAAACATACTGAACAAATTCAAAATAAATAGCAAATAAAACTTTCAAATTTCTTTTTGCTAAATTTTTCTGAATGAGTCAAAGAATTTTCTTTTAAAACATTATTTCAACAAACAATATCTAAATCCTTATAAATCAGTAGTGGGTCTAAATTATTAATTAAAATGCATATTTGTGAATAACTGATCATAGACTTCATACTCAAAGTTAATTTAAGTTTTAATATTAGAATGATCTATAAACAAATGAAAAGTTTCTCTTCACTAAAATCAACTGTTGAACTATTTCAGTTTATTTTAAAATTAAATTTATTTTTTTTTTTTTGGATCTAAAAGACCAATCCTTCATTATAAATGATTAAACAACATAAATATAGATTCTCTCTTTTTAGATGAATAATATCCCAGTAGATAATTTATTTGAGATCAACAAAATGTTGTCCTAATATGACTCAATTTCACACTTTTCACTTTCTGATCAAAATATATATTCATAAAATGTTTAAATTAATTCTTTTAATTATTTTGATTTACTACAGAATGATGTATTATAACAATGTATTTTGAACTTCATTTCTATAAAACAGCAAAAGTATTTGATTTCAATTATTATTTAGTTTTTAATGAGTCATTAATTAAAAATTTGAAATCATATATAAGTAAAATCTTCAAACGATTTTAGTTTTAAATTGACAGTTAATCCAAATAATAGAATTAATTTTTGGTAAAAATTTAAATCTTTTTCTCTCTTACCAAAATCAATTATAAGTCTTTGTTTATTAATACTTATTGTGTGAGTTGGTATTTCTTAATATAAATCATATTAATGCCCATTTCACAGAAAACATTGAAGAAACTAATTACTGTCATCCAGTTATTTTTCATATCTTCAGGATATAGAACAATAAGCATTCAAGCAAATTTAAATGCATAGGAATATAATTAAATAAGAATAAAATAATTATTACTATTATAAATACAAAACTTAATTACAAACTTAATAATTCTGAAGAATGTATAAAATTATCCACTATTTATCTTAAATCACAATGCAAAGATGAATTTCATGTATCATGATTAGTTGTACACATTACCTTGGAAATAAATATAATTGTATACTGTAATTTAAATTCAAAACTAGATTTTTTGTGTTTTTCTATTTAAAAATATAATTTTGAATTATTTTTCAAACAGCTTTATTCTATACTGTATTTGTTTTAGTGAAGCAGACATATTTTAATAAACTTTCCTATACTAATATGAAATATATTAAATAAATTTTATTTCTGTACTAAAATAAATGTTTTTGTTATTTATTCTAATAAAAAATTTATTATTTTCAAGAATTATTTTGTGTAATCTATTTTCTAAAAATCTGAAAATTTATTCTTTCTTAAAATTTGTTTTATTGAATAATTATTTCAGTTAATATAACCACAAATTGATTATTTTCCTAAGTAATTCAAACTTATTCAAATCTCACTGTTCTGAATACCGAAAATTTTTTTAAAATTATAATATTTATAATATTTAATAAACTATAGAAGCACTTAACATTAAGTTTATTTTATTATTCTGTGAATGAATATTAATTAATAATAATGCTACCAGAAAACGAAAACTTTAAATTATATAATTTTAGATATTTTTTAACAAATGAGAAAATAAAAGTATATATGTAGAATATTACAGTAGATTTATGTATGTACAAAAAGAAAAATCATACTATTAATATCATCTTTATAATGTAATTTTGTTTTTCTATTCTATTACATTAAATATATATATAGAATAATAGTCATTTTTAAAACTATTTTCATTAGATTTTTGTTTTTATTTTAAATATAAAAAAAGTTATTTAAATATACATTAAAACATCATCTATAAATTAATGCAAAAAGAAATAATTTTCAGAACGTATTGTGAAGGAAAAAAGAAAAATCTTTACTAAATTTTTGAACCTTTTTCTTTAAATAATCATTAAGATTTTAAAATATAATTTTAATAATACATAAAAATATTTTCCTTTTATATTTCAAAATAATTTTCAGTATTCAGCTATAAAAAACTTAAGTAACTTCTATATATATATATATATTCTGTAAATATAAAAACTAATTTTTAAATAATTTATTAAATTCAATTTATATTACTTAAGAGGCATTAAAATATTTAAAATATTACAATATGTTAGTGTTATATGATACAGGACTTAAATCTGATATTTTGCAGAGGCCAATGTAATTTTAACAAAACTTAAATGTAAGATGAATGACAATTATGACAATCATTTTTTGGTTTTATAACAGTATCTAATTGTCAAGTATATAGTTATTACATCTTATTAAAGCTTCAGTTGACATTCACAGCCTAATTATCATGTAATTAATGAAGTGCTCATTTACATTCATACTGATATTATCATTCTATATATATATATATACTTTCCAAAATGTGAAAATATAGTCAACTGAAATTTTTAAAATTTTTTAGTTATATTTCTAGTCAAATTTGTTGAAAACAAATACTATTTGTTATTAATTGCAAAAATATCAATTTTTTTTTTTTATTCTATATGAATTTTTTTTAATGTTTGTAGCTTACATAATAAAAACACTAATAATAATTCATAACAATCTCAGTAGCAATAGAGAAATAATTTCAATAAATTAGAATTTTTGTCATTTTTATATCTTTAAATACCAACAAAAAAAAATCTAGATATATTTATTTAAATTTGTCAGAATTAACAACTCCCTAGTTAATTTATATATATCATAGCATTCAATCCTACATTATAATGAGCACAACAGTGCTTCTTGCATGAATACAAAAGTTTTAAAATGAAACATCTCCAAAATTTGAAAGGTTATTAGTTTGAGAATTAAAATACAAATTTCCAAAACAATTTAATAATATAAGTTGGAAATGGCCAATAAGAATTCAAGTCCTGTACATATACATATATACTTTAAACTGAATATATCACTATCGCTTAAAAATTCCAATATTAAAATTTCTGAATTTATTTAAAGAGTAAGTTATCCACATTCCAAAATAGTTGATTATATTAAAAATTAGATTTTCTTTAGCTATCAAATGTTAGAAAAAAATATCTGATTTATAAAATTAAGATTTTCTGTCTTTAAATTTTTAAAAACCATGATGAAAATCAGTTTCTTACTTTTATATAAAATTTACAACAAGTAAATTCATTTATCAACTAAAAAATTTCAGTTCTTTAAAATATAATCATCATAAATAAGCAACTTAATGAATAATTTGAAGTTTATGATAAAATTTATGTAAAATATTTTAAACAATTTCTACAGAATTAAAACTTATAATTTATTTATAATAATAACCACAATAAAATCTGTATAATTTTAAATATTATATATAATAAATTCAATTATTGCAGTTTTAAATACAAAATCCTTTTTGAAGACAAATATCAAAAAATTAAAAACATATTACAATTTGTTAACATTTAAAATAAATTTGATGTATAAAACAACATTCATACATAAAAAACAATTAAAAAAAAAACAAGGACAGTAAATATGCTGTGTACTTCATATTAGAATATTTCTGAATATTTTATAATGTTTGTGAAACATGATTAAAGTGTAAGACTAAAAGAATTAATACCTTCAGGCACATTAGGAGAAGTTGGACTAGTGTCTTTGGACCACCATGGATCATGGTGAGAACCATTAGTTAATTTCAGAGGTGTCGGTCTTTGCCAAGTACGTCGTTTTGTAGTGGTGGTAGTTACTGATGATGGTACTGATGTAGCAGAAATTGCAACTGTAGTGGTAACAGATGTTTCAATTACTGGTGTCGAGTTATCCTTTATTTCATTATGACCATTACATATAGATACAGTAGTTGACATACTTTCAAGCTGCTTAATCTTTATCATATATTCTGTAAAACAGGCAAGCATGCAAAAAAAACAGCTACTTCTACAGATAAGAAATAAGAAATGATAGTTAACATTAAGAACAAAAGAACTGCTATTAAATGAGGAAAGTGTGGAAGAATAAACAAACAAAACATAAGAACAATATATATACATATATATATTTAAACAAAAAAAAACTTTAAAAAATTATTTAAATAATAAAATATATACATACAAAATATTTACATAAACTAGGAAAAGATTTTTGAAGCATTATTTTATTAGCTGATATTTTGCTGATATGATTAATTAATGTGTAATGTATATCATTTAAATGTGCAAAGCATTGCCTGAATGTACATAAGAATTGTCAGCACAGCCAAATCATAGAAACAACAAATTAGTGAAAGCATATAAAGCAGGATTATAATTTCATTAATATTTATAAATCAAAGACCGCATTAAATATTGGCAAATAAAATTAATAGTCAAGATTAAAGTCAGTATATTTCTTAATCCTTTGATGAGTGAGTTCACCAATGGCTCTCTCGCCTCCCGGAGTTTTTAGAAAGGTAACATTTACCAAAAAAAAAAAAATTTTAATATCTTGTCTTGTAATTCATATTTTTTAATAAACCAACCAATATTTTCTTCTTCCAAATCAACTGTGTTAAAAAACTCCAATTATTTGAAAGGCAACAGTGAATGAGAATGCCATGTTTATCTTAATTCCAGAAAATTCTATTCTAAATCTTGCAAAAACTATGTGGAAAAATTTTCTAGACCTGTCAATAGATGTCCTCATCTATCTGTAAGTTTTAACATTTACCCATAAATATACAAGCATATTACAATGCGACAAACTTGAACATATACAAGGTTTTTCATAAGTCACACACCATATGAGATTAAGCAGAGAAACATCAGATGATTGTACTCAAAGCATCAGGCTATACTATTACTACTACCATTAATTAATGCTAAATTAATTAAGTAATTTGTCACTATAGTCAGGTGTTAGGCACATCTCTTGCTAAATTTAATAATTATAATTAAATTAATATATTGATAATTCATTTAAAAGATCCTGGAAGAAAAGAATTGACTTGAAGTGAAACTTCAACCCGCAACTCCCACTTATCATGCAGTCACGTTGCCAGTTATGCTATCTGGACCTTTATCTTATTCTCATTTCCAGAATGATAAGTAACCAAGTATGGTTATATCTAAATTAATAGATTCTGGAAGCAAGTAATCTGCAACACGACCACACAGTAAGTGGGAGTTGTGGGTTCGAGTTCTACTTTGAGTTGATTAATTTAGAAGGTTCTGAAAGAAAAATACAGTGGGTGATCAGTTAACGAACATAATCTATTCCAAGACTTTGTTCGCTATCCGAATTGTTCATTAACCAACTATCAATTTACCATAGGTTTTTATGGGAGTTTGATTAATTCGTTCTGGAGACCCCAAAAAATAAAAAATATATACTTTCTTACTACATTTACTTATATGTAATCATAAAAATACATATATACACAGTCTTGTATTTTTGTTAGTCATGTTTTTTCCATTTGTGGGGGTTAAGCTGCTTGAATCTTCTTGATAATACAGTATCTTTCTTAGATAAGATTGAACTATGACCTACTGTCGACCTGTTCAAGCCATACTGCCCAGTAACATCAGACATCATCTGCCCATTCTCTATCTTTGCTATTATACTCTCACCTTTTGAAAATAAAAATGACACAAAAGTTAACGAGTGCCCGCCTGACAGTCTCGCAAATACTATAAAAGAATTGTTTCTGTCAGAAAAATAAAAGGCTGGAATTACAAGGGAGAGTTTCAAANAGTAAAGTATGACATACAGGGTTAAGCCACTACTAATATGAGGTGGAAAGCATATATTTTAATTATATAAATTAAGTAAGCCTCTCATTTCATCAGTGATTAGAATTCTGTAGACTTTTTCTGTGTTTGATCAATTGTATCATTATCATTCCCAAGGATGTTGAAAATAAAATAGCCTTTCTTCTGTATCAACAAACTGTTACATTTCTTAAACTGCTATATGAATCTTATTGACATATATAAATTAAATTAATTAAAAATATGATTAAAAATTACAGCCGGGCATTGTGACAATGTGAGATGGCACTTAATGTCTGTCTCTCTAGTGCCAAATTACTTAGCATTAATTAACAATTGTAATAGTAATATAGCCCAATATAATTCTGCAATCATAATGATTATATGATCATCATTCCAGGTCTGCAATACCAAGTGGAAATTAATTGCATAAAATTCATGTATGTGATCAAATCAATTTCAACTAATGCAGGCTCACCTGCATAGTTCTATAACTATAGTAAATTCTGTGTAATTAATTTCAGATTGACAGTATTGCAGATCTGGCCAGAATGATATCATATAAACAGTAAACAACTACACACTTGTTCCCGATGCTTTGCATACAATCACTTGATACTTCTCTGCAGAATTTCCTATAGTGCATAACTTATGAAAAACCTTGTGTATGTGTATATATATATGCATATATGCTTAGTTTGTAGAGCCCACCACATGTATCACATATTTACGGGAGTACTCATCAAAGGGTTAAATGTTACTATTCAAAATAATTTATGCTGCAGTATTTTTCAAACTTAATTTCTGAGTATATTCAAACAAGTAAAAAATGACTTGTCACTCTTTAAATCAGTTTATTTTATTAGTTTGAAAAATACTGTAAAGAAGTAACTTATTCTATTTATTTGATAATGTTAATAAAAAAATTATTTTAATTATCCAAACACAGATTCAAGCTAGATCTTTATCTTAATATTTGAAACATTTAGGAAAATATCAAAGTGAATAAATTAAAACTGAACTTCAAAATAAGTACATTTGAATAAATTTAGTAATTAAATTATAGTTTAAGTATTTAATAAATCTACCTTAAAGATTAGATTATTATATATCATATAATTCAGTCAAAAATAAAAAATATATAAATTACAATTTTATTGAAAGTGAATCAAAGATATACTAATATTTATCACTGAGCAGTCAATTTTTTTTATTCATTTAGAATAATAAATTTATTTAAAATTAAATGAATTTGATATGGTGTAAATAAAAAAATGATTTTTAAGAATGACAACATAAAAATTATTAATGTTCTAATATTTTCAAACAAACTGTTCATCACCAAGAACATAGTTCTGTTATTATGGAAACAAAAGAAACAAATGCAAAAATTTAAACAGAAATCACTACAGCAGTTACATCATCATCATTATATTAAAGAAATTAACAATAACTAAATAATAATTATTTAAATACGTAATGTTATCATCATAATGAAATTATATTGTCTCTTCTTAGCATTTTACAGCTGACTGATATGCTAATCATTTCCATTTCTATGGGACAAGGAATAGTCCATATGAAAGATTCTATAATATCTCTTATCATATACTCTGATCATGTGTCCAAAAATCATCATGAGAATCAGAACCTAACTGGATATCCTTTGATCCCAAAACTAAAAAATTCCTTTCTACTTAGCAACAACCATGCGAATAAGATTCATACAGCAGTTTAAAAAATATAACAATTTCTTGATATGGAAGAAAAGCTATTTTATTTTCAACATCCTTGGGAATGATAATGATACAATTGATCAAACACATAAAAAGTCTACAGAATTCTAATCACTGATGAAATGAGAGGCACAACTCTATAATACATAGAAGTAACATCCTTGTGTGTAATGAAAAGAAAAAAGATCATCCATCATACAGCTTAAAACAGACATTACAGCCTTAACACAAATTATTTTAGGTAGAAATATTAGAATATGGAATCAAGCAGAATTATTAGAAACCTGAAACCAAAAACAATCTATGATCAAAAATTAAGTTTTTTTATGTGAAGTCAGTAGTAATCAACAGAAGAGATGCACAAAATCTCTCAACCCCACAGAAATGGTTAGCATGTTAATCAGCTACAACACCCTAGGAAGAAGTAATATGAATTCATTGGGCTGCAATTTGAAAAAATTGTAGAATTATAAATTCCCACTGTCATCTGTCTTTCCTTAATTTTGGGAATGGAGTTAGATAGATGAAATCTGAAACCAGATATGGAAACCTTAGGGACAGGAGACCTTGATTAACTATACACAAACTTCCAATGAAAACCAGAAGTCATGTTATTTCAATTCAAAAATTTCCCTGAAGCATGTCAGATAGATAACTGGCAAGACTCTATCGTTAAAAGAAAAGTATGACATACAGGGTTAAGCCACTACTAATATGAGGTGGAAAGCATATATTTTAATTATATAAATTAAGTAAGCCTCTCATTTCATCAGTGATTAGAATTCTGTAGACTTTTTCTGTGTTTGATCAATTGTATCATTATCATTCCCAAGGATGTTGAAAATAAAATAGCCTTTCTTCTGTATCAACAAACTGTTACATTTCTTAAACTGCTATATGAATCTTATTGACATATATAAATTAAATTAATTAAAAATATGATTAAAAATTACAGCCGGGCATTGTGACAATGTCACATTAAATAATTGCTCATCATTATTAAGTTGTTGCTGTTGTTGTTATTTTGTTAAACCTATAATTTTTATTCATTTCTTTAATTTAAAAATGATATAGAAAACAGAAATCTCTATAGCAGCTATTATTTTTCCCCCTTCACTTCCACAGTAACAAAATTGAGTTTCTGACAACAAACAGTTTATAATCAAAAATACTAGAACATTAAGAATTTCTGTATTTATATTTATCATCTCATAAAAGTTTTAAGAGCAAACACAGTAGCAATATTAGTGTATTTTTATGCCTATAAATTTTAATAATAATTTTCATATTTTCTTATGTTGAGTAATTTTCCATTTAACAATATCCCTTTTGGAAGCTTAAAAATATTTTATGAAAATATGAAAATACTTCAGACTAATATCTTACTATAAGTACTGCATTGTTGCTTTCGGTAACTAGCTAAGCATATAAAATTTTATGCAATAATAATTTACACACAACTTACTCTAATATCATATCATCTATAATATCAGCATATGAATTACAATGCAAACTAGTAAATTTTAATATAAAATAATCTAAAACTTTTAGCTTAATTTATCTAAACAAACAAGAACCACTTGATTAAGGTTACTAAAATTCTTTAATATGAAATGTTTATGGCTTCAGTTCGTATCACCCTCAGTCAAATGACAAATAATTAAATAAAATATTTACAAAATTAAATATTATTTTTTAAAATTTACAAATTAGGAATAAAGATAAAACCTACATTTTAAACTCACAAAATACATAAATTTTGAGTTGAGTTTTTTATTTCTATTTCATAAATTTCAAAAATATATTACAATTTCATAAATATTCTATTTCATTATTCTTCATTTGATTTACAAGTGCTGTGAATAGCCTGCAATGAAGCTAAAAACATTTCATATTAAATTTCCACAATTTCAATCATGTTTTATTTCTTGAACATTATGATTCCAGGTTTAATTTCCATAACCTCTAAGTAGTTTAGTTCAACAAACAAGTTAATCAATCAAAATTACAAATTATTTTAAAATGTTTCAAATTTTCCATGCCGACAGTACTGTATTTTACAGTATTGTTAAATTATTAATTATAATTTCAATGAAATTAAGCAACTGTTTTAGAAATAGCTAGTCAATCATAGCTAAAACTTAAAATTATTAGGAAACCTATTTTAAATATTTATAAAATTAGAAATTAACTACAGGATATTAAATGAAATATGCAAAATTAATTCAATATAGAAATATTTTGATATTCATTTTTTAATAAGTAAAAAATTAAAATCAATCTTCATGTCAAACTCAATAAATTCTAAGATTGAATCACAGATTTTAATTTTATAATCTAAGATAATAAAAATAATTTAAATAGTAACTGTTTCCTATTTAAGTTCATTGTTTCATTAACTTAAAATCTGCACTAATAATTTTACAATTAAATAAAAGCAGTGTAAACATTTCAATTTTTATACAGTCATCAATAACTTTTGATTCACAGCAATAAACTAACAATAAATTAGACTATTCACAACATAAATTTGGAGCCCCTAAATTTTTTCTTTTAATGCTTTTGATTTATTTAAGTTAAATTTCATTTATGTTCACTAGCAACATAGCAACTATTAGTAAAACAATAACAAAAACAAAAATACTGTATAGTAAATTTTTATGTAAGAAATACTTCAAACTTTCATAATTCATCTTCAAATAACTTTAAGTAAGAAACTTAAAAATAAGGTTTTTCTAAAAAAATTTAAACTTTATCTATATACTTGTAAGGATAAAAATTTAAAGATAAACAGAATCTTTCTTAATAGCATTAATTATCTGTTTAATTTATTTTGGTATTTAAATAAGAGAGATAATACTGGTATATATATTTTTTGACATAAATTTAGATTTGCAAATAAAAAGTTATTTGAGAACTTGGAAATTATGATTTTACAATAGATCTTTTCTTCACTTAATCAATATTGTAATTAATTATTTTTTCAAATTTTTCATCAAACTGTCCAGATGTAAAGCATAACTTAACATATATAATTTAACTTAAGCATTTATTGATGGAAACAAATCTAATATTTTTAGTTCATTTAAATATTAGATAAAAGAATATCATCAAAAGGGTTTTAAATAAACATAATTGTACATATATCAAATTATTCATATCTAAATTAAAATTATTTTGCTATCAGAATTAAATTAATTAAGAACAAATCACCAAATGTATTAATAAAAGAAAGTTATGCATATTTTTAAATACATAAATAGCAAGTTGGAAATCAAATTTATTATTTGCATTATACAATTATTAATTGTTAGATTTTTAAAATATTAAAGATTTATTCTGTAATCTTATATGCTATATTCTAGCCTATTTATTTTGTTTCAAACTTGCTTTAAAGATAAAATGTTCCTTTTTCCTCTTAAAAATGTTTGTTATAATCTTAATCATAAATTTAAAAAGATAAATGAGTAAATTTGAACTTTTACTTATAATATTTTATACAGTAGAACCCAGATTATCTGAGGTAACATGAACTGACACTACTTCAGATAATGGAAAACTAAGATAAAATGGATCGGCATGATCATTTTGGATTAAAAAGTTTTGAATATAAAAAATTTATAGGATATATCAACTTTTAAGACTCTTTTTACACTTTGGTGAATTTAATTATATGTAGAAATATTTTTTACATCATTTATTATATAGCTAATATATGTACAGTAGTATTAAAAATAAAAATGTGTATTATTGTACTTACATTTTAATATGAATGTTTTATTTCACAATGAAGTTAAATGATAAAAAGTAACAGAAACAAATTTTGTATAACATGTTATTATTTTAAACCTTCTTTTTCGAATACAGTATAAAAAAAGTAGTGTATTCACTTACAGGTCTGCCTCAGATAATGCAGAAATTTAATCAGGGTTCTGCTGTATTTGTAAAAATAATCATGCAAAATATTTATATACAGGTATCCCTTGCTTAACATTGCTGTGCTTAACATGGGATTTGATTAATGCACAAAATTGATTGTGGCAATCTCTTTATATATGTGGTAGAAATTTTAATGTGGCTTTACCAGCTAGATGTCTGTACTTAACATAGATACCCTATTTGATTAATGCAATTTTGATAAATGTGGTAGCATCAAGAGATTAATAAACTATGTTAATCAAGAGACACCTGTAGTTAACTAGAATAATGAAATTTTCATTCAATAATCATAGTGTATTAAATAAAGTGCTTCATTACAGTGTCCTTTGTTCAAAATTTTATAAGCCCTAGTGCTTTTGAGCTTTAATGACTCATTTTCAGGTGGTACAAATTCTTTAAACAAAGTATTTGTGTATTATTACTAAATTCTAAAACAAACTTTTAAACAGAAAAATATTTACAATTTAAATAATTAGATTAAAATAGATCATATATATATATATATATATAAGTGGTTTCTTTTGTGTGTTTATATGTTAACTGTTTGAAAATAAAATGTATCATACTCTTATCTGAATCTAATGGGTTGTAATAACAGTAGTTCATTATTCTATCTATTTCAGGGCATTTTATTTCATTAAGGATAGATTATTGCACCTCAATGAAGCAAAATTCAAACTCGTCTTACTACGACAACTGCTGGCTGTAACATATGATATCATCAAACCCAGAAACAACATCTAGAGGGAAACTTCCACAGAAAGTTAAAAGAGTGATCTCCCACCCAAAATTATCATCAAAATGCACAACAGAAACTTATAAGATTAAATGTAAGGGTGATGACACAACTTAAAAGAAAGATTAAACAAATTAACAAGATAAATTAACGAATGTTAACAATTATGTATATAAATAGGGTCAAGTGGGTGTAATAATGTAACATCACCACCACACACTATAAGGAGATGAAACAAAGAACCAGGCAAGGTGATGCTAAAGATCAAATGAGATTGACAAAAGGCTTTCAAGTTCCATTGATGATATAGAAGTTCTTGGTGACGGTTAGGCAAATTTGTAAGATTTCTTCATTAATTTTTGATATACTCTCATTTTGCTTGTCAGATTTTGTGGAGATACAAATTAAATTATAACTATCTCAGAAGTAAGTCCCCAAGTGTTGAGAAAGTTTTATACATATTTGTTTTTTGAATTGGATAAATTATCTTTATTATACTTTGCAATTTTTTGCTAACTTTATTTCATTATTGTACGTATTTGGGCTAAAACTAATAAATAAATTTTTATTCATATAAATGTGTAGTAATTATAGTTTTGGGTTTTTGACTTAATAACAATTTCATTCATTTTTATTGCATGACGAAGTCCAGGCCTGGCACCATCATTTATGTAATGCACCATTAAGATATTATTCGGGCTCACAATTGAATTAAATAAGATGTTACAAGATTACAAAATTGAACTGAAATATTGTGATTAAAAAGAAAAAAAAACTCACTAAACTGTACAAAAGTAGTGAATTAGAAGAAAAACACAATGTCATTGAAACAAATGAAAACAAATGCTAGCTGAATATGAAATCACTACCTCCCACTTTTATAGTTTGGAACACTTTTAAAAGTTTCATAATACTGGGATTATTTGATTCAGATATGAATGTTACTAAAGATTATTCACTACAACAAGAACAAGATAGAGTTTAGATACTGGAATAAGGCTATTTAAATTTTAAAAAAAATAAATTTAAAACTTTACTTTTTTGTGATATGGTGGTTAACACTCACGAGAGAACAATATGAACATATTTGATAATAAAACAAATGTATAAAGAAAAAACTTTAAATTCTAAATTTAAATTAGTTGTAATCACAATTTATTGTGTTTAAAGTGCTTGTATCTCTGAAGATGAGCTAGAAAAAGTTGAAAGCACTAAGATTTATAAGTTTTTTTAATAAGAGATATTTCAATAAATTAGAATAATTTGTTATATTTGGAGTTCAAACTGAACTTGAAGTTTTTGAATATTTATATTAAATATCTATTATATAGAGTAACTTGGTATGATTTATATTTACATAAATAAATACAAACTAACAATAAATGATAATTACATTACCTAAGAAATCAAGTCTATCTTTAGCCATTAAGAGATTAGTTTTCATCTTATCCTGAAGTCGTTGAGCTCTTTCCCAAACTTGACCTTTAAAAATCAGATATTTCATTAATGATCAATACATACTGAACAACTGAGTAGATATCCTGCATTCAAACAATTTACATGAATCAAATAAAATAATTTTTAAATATGAACAATTTTCAAATTACATATTTTATAATCATGAAGTTATACTGTAATAAAAGTTAAATTGCAAAATTGGAATTTAACTTTTATTGATTTTTCAAGTGTAGAGTAATTTCATTGAAACTAATAAATTATGTCATATTTTTGATTAAGTAACTGTAATAAATTTAATAAAATCAAAAATAATGGCAAGACCTGGTAACATAATTAATATCAATAACTTATTTATTGGCATATCAGTAATCAGTTATAAAAAAATCTGATTATTGATAGCATCTATTACAAAAAAATCAAGATCATCAAAAAACTAATAATAATAATAATAATTTTAACATAGAATTATGATATATTGCAAAGAGTATTAATAATTATATAAGAAACCAACCCTGTATTATATTAATGATCAAATAATATTCTAATTTATTTAATTCCAAGTACAGGAGCTCCACTACTTATAAACATTCAACTTACAAATTTTCAGACTTACAATTTGATCATACATCTAAAATTTAATTTCATGCAGATTCTAAAGTTCTCTTCCCATTCGTGGGGTGGTGTTAAAGTCAGTCTTTAGCCAGTAATAAATAATTAATGTGGATTTATTTCTATTGCAAATTGTCATTTTTTTGTTTTCATGCAAATTCTAGCATTGCTGCTAATGAAGTGGCATCAAAATTGATAATGTTGGAGTAACAATATTTTTTGCTGTTGTTTGCAATTTTTATAAACTTTTACAATTAGTGCTTCAAAAATACAGCCCAAACAAATGCAAGAAATGTCTATTTCCATGGAAACTAAACTTGACATTATAAAATGATGTATGTTAGGTGAAAAAAACAGTGTTTGAAACACCTGCTACTAAGCAATAGCAAGCAGATAAACAAGCATAATGTATTCTATTAAGTACATTGAAAGGATCAAACACTCACAATAGGTGATTATTCTGTGTATAAATGTATTTTCCAGGTTAGTTTTTGACGTACGACAAAACATCAGGAACCTAACTTATTTGTAAACAGGAGAGCACCCATATTCAATTTAAGAGATGGCACCTTAATTGCCTACCTTCATTCCAAATTACATAGCATTTAATTAGCGAAAATTTAATCCAATAATAAATCCAGCTTGATTATTTGAGAGTAAATACTAGATCAATTGATGTGGTTAAATGAAAATATTAACAATGAAAATAAGAAAATTCAGATTATATTCTATATCTAAAATAATTTAATCTAAAAATAATCAAGTTTATGCATTTTTCTTCATTACTGATAATTTTTGATAGTATAATTGGCCAAACTGTATTTTGGTCAATCGGCCAATGCTATATTTAAACATCCAAATATTGATGAATATGTAAGGAAGTATAAACAGATTTATTTTCATAGTAATTTAAATTATATTATAATTCTGTTATATATATAAAAATAAAAAAATTCTATTAACTAAAATGCTAAAATGTTTTAAAAAGTTTGTTATTAAAATCTTACAATAATTTTTATTAGATAAATAGTGTTTCACAAGTCTTGGCAGGCTGCTATAATGTGCAGTTGCAAGGACAAGTCTATTGTTAGTATATAGATTATGTGAATTTAACAAAATTTGAAGCATATCTTGATATGCCAATGTATACTAATTTTAAATACCACAGAGACCTATTCCCCATTTAAGATTCCTGGCTAAGATTCATGGAATAACCTGTATACAAATCTACAATTCTTAACTATACACACACACACAGTTTATAAAAATCATTTTTAAAACTTATATAAATTTGAAGAAAAACAGTATTTAAAAATTTTTACCTTTTCCAGAAGTACAGTCAACAGCAATTCCCATCTCTAGCTGTTCAATTCCTTTTCTATATAAATCAATTGCATGTTCTTTGTGGCCTGATTAAATAAATAAAATGCATAAGATATATACAAATATTTAATAATTGTCAACTAATTAAATAAAATTATAATTTAAACAGTTCTATTTATATTTGATTATTAAATTCCAATTTTATTAAGAAATTTCTTCATATTTTAAACCTATTTCCTAATAAATATTTAATTCCATTTTGATATATTATTAAGAATAAATTCTGTAACAATTGTCATTCAAATATTTCAACATTTTCTTGTTATAGGAATCTGATCTTATCTAACAACATACACAGAACTGACAATTGGTGTGAAATAGAAAAAACAAACAAAAAACTAACACAAACATTTTCAAATCCCTTCCAAGTTCTTCTTCAGGCATTATAACAGTTACCCAAAAGCTTTTTTTGAAATATAAAAATTAGAACAAAAAAGCATTAGTTATAATGCCTGAAGAAAAACCTGGAAGGGGTTTTGAAAACGCTTGCATTAGTTTTTTTGTTTGTTTTTTTCTATTTCACACCAGTTATTGGTTCTGTGTACGTTGTTAAATATATCACAGTGTGGTGTGTTGTTATTTACTGATTTTATCTATTCAACCAAACCTCGACAAAACCCTTTAATATGCAGCCTTTTTTTATTAACTTTTCAAATGCTTTTGGCCATTAAATGATCTTCTTCGGGAACAAAACGGCAAATAATTCTGATTTCTATAAAAATCAGATTTATTCAATTTTTTGTTCCTGAAGGTCGTTCAAATGGCCGAAAATGCTTGAAAAGTTAATAAAAAAAACTGCATATTAAAGGTTTTTGTTGAGATTTGGTTGTTATTTAAGTGCAGTTAGAGAAGACTGTTTATCTATTCAGATATTAAAAAAATAATGATAGGTTTTGTTGTTGCATTAATAATTTTGCATAATTAAATATAATTAAAAATAAGTTGCAACTGGCCAAACAGTAAATATCACAGTTGATTTTTTTATTGCATAATTATTTTGAGCTTTTACTCTATAATTGTTTCTGATTCAGTATATATTTTATGTTTAAAACTTTTTCATTAGAATATAATTTTTCATAAAATATGATGTAAAACAAATATTGAATATCAATATTTAGTTTCTAAAACTATACAACAATTACATAATTAAAGTAAAGCAAAAAATATTTAGAAAACATTTGTTCATTTCAAATGAGCAATGCAGTGAGGAGAATTTTAGTGTTATATTTTTAAATAAGCAAATTTTTTTAAAAAGATTTGATTGAATAAATTTTTTTAAACATTTTGATTTTTCTTTAATTTCAGAACAAGAAACAATTGAGAAAACAACAGAAATATCCATAAATATTCAATATAATCAGCAAAATGGTAAATAAAAATTAGAAATACAGATGTTTACCAAAGAAACAATTTAGTTTTCTTCAGAACAAAGATGATAAATATTTATGAGTACATGTGCATATGCACAAGCATGCATACACAATAAAAAAAACTGGTGAAACCAGCTTGAAAAGTAAACTCACCAAAAGTATCTAAATAAAAAAAACTTTTGACAGTTGTAATATAATAATATTGGAATCAGATTTGACAATAAGACTTAATATGTGAATGAAGTGCACAGTACACAGACTACAACTATTGGAAGTTTGAATGAAGCAATGTCACCATGATAATAAATCAGGAAAACGAGCATTGCCACAGAAAAACACTCAGCTTTACTTTGTGCCTACAATAATTTGGCTAAATATTAGAGCAACTTTGATTAATAGTAGTAAAAGAACTTTAAGGTTTTTTTTTATAAATACTCAATATTTTTAAATAAAATCTTCAAAAAGACAAACAGGTCAACTCTTGAACAAGCTATTAAACATATGCATACTCCTTCTAGATTGTTCAGTAGTTCTCTCTCAATGTAAATCTAAGCGACAGAATGTTAATTGTGTAAGTCAAAACAATCCAACAAATTTATTCAAATTTAAGATGTACATAATACTCATCATAAACACGAAATATTTTAAATTTCATTCAGATTTGTTTATGTTTATTGGTAGCAGAGATATGTGGACAAATGCTTCAAAAGTGCATTTGGTGACTTTTAGCCTCTCATTCTCCTAATTTTTATTAAATTGGTATTAATGCACTTATATTGCTTTAGTAAAAATGTACTTGCACTAATGAAGATTATTTTGAATAAATTACTTTATATTAATCAAATGTTCAAAGTCAAAAATAATAAAGTCATTTCATTTGCAATGACCCAATTAGGGTTTCTCCAATGGGATCCCTGATTTTCCAGGATCCAGCTGTTTTTTAACCTGGGAAATCCTGCAAATTTCTTAAAATTTCAGTTTTTTCTTATTTTGTGTTAAGATTGAAATTTTGCAAATAGAAAGTATAATTATTAACCCATAAACTGTCAAAATACATTTGTATTTATTAATTTTAAACCTACTTATTAGTTTTTTTAATTTTTATTTATGGCATGTCACAAATGGTCAATANCTTGGCTGTTTTTTAACCCAGGAAATCCTACAAATTTCTTAAAATTCACTTTTTTCTTACTTCGTGTTAAAGTTGAGGAAATTTTGCAAATAGGAAGTATAATTAACCCATAAACTGTCAAAATACATTTGTATTTATTAATTTTAAACCTACTTATTAGTTTTTTTAATTTTTATTTATGGCATGTCACAAATGGTCAATAATCTGTACATAGCTTATTTGTGGCAAGACTCTGAAAATTCTTTACTTGTCGGAATCTATAATATCTGGAACAATTTTGCTTATGCTGTTTTAACTTTTAACCATGCCTAGTAGCTTCAATAACTGCATATGCTGCCAGGTTGTGCAAGGATACAAATGAGTATGAAGTATGCTAGTATGAAGTTTTTCTTCATGAACCTGATTATTAAAGCAAAACGAACTGCCGAATTATTGGGCTGTAAGCTTGATGCCTCTATTAAAGCAGCTGAGGTAGACAAATCAAAAATACTTGATAGCAAAAGAAATACTGTAATGCATCTCAAAAACGAACTAGAAATCTTCCAGGCTACAGGTGAAAAAACACATAACATCTGTCTTCTCTTAAATGCATTAAAGACAATTCCACCACATCAATTGAATCAAAAAGAGCATTCTCGGTAGCAGAACTTTTCTTTAGTAAAATAAAAATCAGATTGAGTGATAAGAGTATTGACCATCTTTGCTTTTTAAAACCATATTATAAAAATTTACAATAATAATTTGTATTATGTTTTATTTAAATAACAAAAATTACCTAACTTAGAAGTTTGATCTAAGTTCATTTTTTTCTTTAAATTTTCAACTGAATTCAAAGGCATTTTTGTTGTAAGCAGTTTCCATCAAACTTAAATAAACTTTTTTTATATGTGAAAATTTCTATGTAACTCAAAAGTAATTTATTGTACATTTTTACAAAGCATTATTATTGTTATTTTGGAGGTTGCAGGATGTATTAAGTTACTTAAAACTGAAAAATAATTATATCATTTAATTTTAAGATTTATTTTATATCTTAAAAATAATTAATTATGTCCCAGGATCCTGGAAACAGTTCACTTTTTCCTGGAATCCTGGGACAAGCAAAAGACTGGGAAATAAGAAACCTTAGACCCAATATTTTCTATTGAAAGAATAGCATTTGAGTGCTATTAAAATAAGAATATGGAATAAATCAGAATCTGTCAGTGTTTGCTATAAGAACTAAATATAATTTTAATATTATATCATTGATGAAACATTATTATAAAAAAATTTTAAATATTTTTAGATGATTAAAATTATCAATTCTGCAATTCATCTCTTTGATATAAAAATTAAAACCAATAAATCTGTGTTCAGAACAATTTAAAGATAATCAATAGAAATAGTATAGACAATTTTGCAGTGTGACTAAATGAATAATTTGAAACATTAAATACAATACATTAGAATGCTTTTTTATTTTAAGTAAGTTCATTATTCTATCTATTTCAGGGCATTTTATTTCATTAAGGATAGATTATTGCACCTCAATGAAGCAAAATTCAAACTCGTCTTACTACGACAACTGCTGGCTGTAACATATGATATCATCAAACCCAGAAACAACATCTAGAGGGAAACTTCCACANAAAATAGAATTTTATTGTTTTGTTTTATTAATTATTTAAGCAAAATTGCTGGACCCATATAACTCCAGATTTATTTCTGTTTTTGAAAATCATGTTGCATTATTTTCAGACAAATGATTTCCTGTTTGTAGACACCATGTGACTATGAGAGAAAAAAAAAAATAGAGGACAAGGTCATACAACTAAATCATCTGAATACATACTCTACCTACAATTAAACATGTGTGATATTATTCTTCAAAAAAATGATATAATTAATTAAATTTTTTAAAAATACAAAACAAACTGAAAATTTACAATTAAAAATAATTTATTTATAAAACAATATTAAACAAAACATTTTGTGGCATAAGATATTTTATTTTGGTTAAATATATAATAATCCTACACAGTTACTAACAATTTCCAACAATTAAATAACCAGTTATTTCATATTTACGTAATCATGCCATTAAAAAAATGTGATTGCCGTTATCTCTGAAAGACAAAAAAAATGCACAGATTTAAAAACATAGCATCAAAAAATTAATTATTATAAATAATTTTAAGTAACTATATAACAACACATTTATAAAAATTATAATTTTATTATTGTGTATGTAAACTATCAGATTCAGTCACTGAATTTTGATGTGAAAACTAATTTACACGTTTTTCAATCTATAATTTCTAATTTTTATTACTTTTAAATGCATAAGGTATCTATATAGCAAAATTTCGAATTAATAATGATGATAAACTATATATGAATAAGCCTAAATAAAGTAAGCACTACTGAAATTTTCTATATATATATTCTAGCCAACGGATTTAAGAAGTCTATCAGTAGGTCATGACCTGTTAATATTGTTAGATAATATTGTTAATGTGTCAGTCAGCCATTCGGTACGTAA